TACAGACTTAATTGTTTTTGCACCTGCCTTTTCGGATAATAACGAAGGAAAATGGATATGTCTAGAAGAGAAATTCCATGTCTGACGCGATGCACTGATGATAATGGACGAAATTGGCCGTGTCAGTTTGTAAGATCTGTTTTCTCATTCGGGGGTAAAAGAAGAAAGAAAAACATCGACCAATTACTAAATGGAGTCACATTTGATTTCACTATTATCTCTGTTAGAAAAAAATTGGAGAAAATACGATGTATAAATTTTCGAAATTTCTTCTTTTTATTCCAGACCCAGGGAATATAAAATATTCAGTTAAAATTAATGACGAGTTGTAAGCAATTTTGCTTAAATACAAGAATGACTTATCTCTCCAGGAACTTAATTAGATTCCTCTGCGTTATCGTTGTACATGTAAATGGTATTGAATGAAAATAATATAAAATGATTATCTAACATGCATTGTGCTTTTAGTATCCTTTCTTTAATTTGTTTAAAACAGAAGTAATTTTATAGATGGATCATCAAGGCATAAGAAAAAGACGAGATAATTCCTTGTTGACCTTAACACATGCCTCAGTCTATTTTCTACGACTGGAACGCCCCAGCGCACTCTCGTTAGGGATGTTCAAAAGACATTGCATGAGAAATGGCACTCCCCAGAGCAAATTTCTTCCTGGAGTATTTTTCTTGACGAAGTCACAAGGGCTGAAACCTGGCGATTACAGGGGAGGGTTAATCAACAATTCATGTCATTATTTTCATTCTATATCCCAGCGAACTCGAAATAAAGGACACCACAGTCTGTCACATTTGCTTTATACTTAGATATTTCACTCACTATACGTCAATGGCCAACTTACAACTACACTGTATAACAAACTGGATAACCTCAGCTCTTCCATCGTCAATTTTCCCTTTTTTATGTAGTAATATTCCAAATTCACATGCATATGGTGTTTATGTCTCTCAACTGATTCGATACTCAAAGGTATGTTCTGAGTACGATCAATTTTTAAACAGTGGCACACTCGAGCTCCTGACAAATGCAAAAATAAGTTGATGCTACAGGGTTTTCAACTATCTCGTTTTTAGTCAACATTTCGCATACTTTTTTTTTGGCCGTAAGAAGGACCTGATTTGCAAATAACAGCCATAAGTTGTTTTTTTTTGTCATTCATATTTTTATTTCCGTCATAACATGCATTTTTATACAAACATTACAAAACTACAATAGAATGGCATAAAAACAAATATTCTATGTGATAGATAAAAGAGATCCATTTGAACAATTTTGAAAAATAGACAGCATTTTTTTTTCGTAACATTTAAACCTTCAATGACTGAGAAATGTTTTCAAAAAATCCCAACTTTGCTTTATCATGTCTGCTTTCTTATGAGAGAGGGAAAAGGAGGAAAAAAGCTCTATAGTTCTATAATATCTAAGTACTTCCAAATAAGCATAAAAAGACGGTGTTATATTTTTCCATTTACAATTCATTATATATTGCTTTGCAACCAGAATGATTATGTTCAAAGTTCTGAATTCAGTTTCACTAGAACTCTTATATCCAAATATGATTTCTTCAGCAGTAAATTTAATAATTAAACCACATGTATTTCGAAGTTTATCTCTTAAATTAGACCATAAAGTAACGGAATATGGACACAAGCACAATAGATGAATAATTGTTTCTTTAGTATCATGGCAAAAAGAACAAAGTTCTGTTTCGGCTAATTTGCATTTCATAAGTTTGCTATTTGTAAAAATCATTTGATGTAAAAGCTTAAACTGAAAGCATCGAAGCTTTGTGTCCTTTGTTATTAAATATGGTAAAGAAAAAGAGTCTTTCCATTTATTTTCATTAATATGTATTGAAAGTTTTTCCTCCCATTTCTTTAAAGCCATTGAGGGGGACTCTGTTATCTTTTCAACAAACTTTTTATAAAAGTGTTTTGTAACTTTCATATTCTTTTTAAGTTTCAAAATATTTTCACTTTTAATTTCATTTAATTTTTGGTGATGTTTAATCGTTTACTTCCAATATTTAGGGATTGCTGATAATAGTCCATTATATTCAACGAAATTTATGTTTAAATTGTATGCATTTTTAAATTGGATGAAATTCATGAAATCGCCATTTTCCATGATTAAGTCATTAATGAAAAAAATACCATTGGCTATCCATTTTCGTTTAAATACGTATTTTTCCCTACTTTGATATCATTATTAAGCCATAGTGGTTGACTTAAAATTTCATTTATAACAGCCATAAGTTGGGTTGTATGTTGACTGACACGTTTCCATCAATTGTTAGGCCATTGTTTTTATATCACTTTGACCACGTATATGTATTATTCCGTTTACCTGATTAAAAAGAGTGCTCACAGCGGAAGTGGCCGTTGAGAAGGGATGCTTACTCCTCTCAAATACCTGATACCATCTCAGTGTTTCCAAAGGTCCGTGTTTTTGCCCTGTTCATGATTCGTATTCTCTATAGGATTCAAAAGATTAATCACTTATCGTTACAGACACGTATATAGTATCATTTTTGAAAGGGGGAGCAGCCCCACCCCCCACCCCCCAAAAAAACTATTTGATAACTTACCTGAGAAATCTTTGACAGGAAATAAAGAAGGCATTTTGTCCAAACTCGAACATCCTTTTTCGGATGGGGGTTGGGAGTAGTTTCCACTTTTATCCCCCAAAATTATAACAATTGTTACAATTGATACACTACCAATGGATGACTTAACTACCAAAAAAGGGGGGTGGCAGTCCTTTCAATAGACATTTTTAACAGTAAAAAGTTATGTTTGAAAAAGAGTGGGAAGCCGTCCCTCCCCCCACCCATACTTCGTTACTGCTTTATCGACACATTTTATGTAAGTTCTCATAACCGTTTCCTTTACATCTATGCTTGTGTTCAGCACCTCTGTTGTGAAACAGAAAAAAGAACTTAGACTGCTATGTGGATGTCACTCTTAGAAGTCCGGATTACTTATCCTTAATACCTTATAAACACAAAATCAGCTTTTGATGGTTCTTCCTTTGTGTGTAGGTACCTTTATTACTGGATCGAAAATATTGCGTAACTCCTTTTGGAGCTCTTGTTTCTTTTGGTGATAATAGGACAATCACTTTCTTTCTGAACCCACATTATCTGGAATCAATTTTCGTCATATATGTAAAGTGTTAGTCATACAATCTTTTGTTACGTTTTTATTTTTTTTTTTAAAAGATTCCTTAACAACTTTTTTTGTTTTCTTTTAGCGTTAAATAAACCATTTGTACCTATTTTTCATATTTATTTTCCTTTTTCACAGCCACAAGAAAATACTGTGTAAAAAAAAAAAGCACTTTCCAGATTAGCGCTCATAAAATAAAAAAATTGAGTTTATCTCATTGTCACAAAAAGTACAGTAAGGAAATATGGAGATAACGAGCAGTAATTAAGCTCAAAAGTCCATCAAAACATTACAAATCGGGAGCAGAGAAAACACGGACCTCCAAAAGCATCAGGGTTGGGATCAGGTGCCATGGAGGAGAAAGCATCCCCTATCGACCGGTCACATCCGCTGTGTGCTCCTTGTCATGATCGGGCAACGGAAAAATCCGTAGACAAATCAGTGTAGTTAATAAACAAACATAGTAAATTACATTACGAATTTTTATTGCCATGAAACCGTATAACTTTTTAATGCTTTTCATGTTTTAATTACTGGTATATATTTCTTTGTTGAAAATATATTTTTTGTAAGAAAAACGTGTATTGTCTGTCTTCTACTAACGTAACAATCAAAAATCCAGTATAGCCTTTAGAAATCAAAATTTTGACTTTTTGTGACGTACATTCCTTTAAGGTTCATAAACCCTCTGCTCACTCATATAAAATGTTTCTTTAACTCATGATTTTCAAAAAGGAATGTATAAACTATAAAAATAAATTTGGTAAGTAAAATACAAACAGTTATAGCATAGATTGCGAGGCAAAATTGGACCAAAAAGACACTTCAACATGACAAATTTATAAAGGAATAATAGACATTCGTGTTATTAAGAGTTACATTGTATCTCTCTTATCAGAGTATCACTGAACCCTAATAAAGCAGTTATATGGATTTCATTTGAAACTATCAGTTACATGTATATCATTGATTTAATTTATCATGCCGATTTCAGAATGCTGTATTTTTTAAAGGTCAAAAAATGATTTAGGTGAGCGTTGTCGCCCATGTACCTCTTTTCTTATATATATATTTCATAGTTGTCAATTTGTTTTGTATATAAAAAAAATAAATCGTATTACCGAATATTAATGGAATTCACATAAAATTAACAAATCTAAACATTAAAGAGTACAGATATTAAATTACAAGAAAATCGAATTTTACATAACGTTTTACATGCCAGTACCTCATTCTCATATAAATTAATTATTGAATCGTTAAGTTAAGAATCAAAATAGCCACCAGTATCTAAAACATCAGATGCATAGTTAGTGACGAAGCTAAGAACTCCTTATATGGTATGGTCGTCGATTTTCGGTCATCTTCGGATAGTCAGTGTGTCACACACTCGAATCAAGAGGGTCACATAAAAATACATCATACCTCAATTGTTACAAGGATAGGAAATTGTCATTTATTGTTTTCCTTCCGATTTTACTTTGAGATATGAACATGAAATAAAACCTAATGGCAATGATAAATTCTTTAATATATAGCCAGAGGACGTTTGGGTATAGACTTCTATTATAATTAAACTACCTGTAAAATTATGAATTTTAAACAATATATTTTTTCTATATCTGATCAAAACAAAAAAAAATGCATTGAATGTTAAATAAAATACATATTCAGTGATTTAAAATACCTTTAAAATGCACCATAGAAAGGGATACCCTTTCGTGAGCCTCATAAGTGATGTTACTACTTTACATCACGTTAGGGTGCTAACGTAGAAGCCAAGTGCCTCTGAGGTGTATAAATATGGCACAGGGTATGTATATCTGACAAATAAGAAAACGTTTTACAGAAATTAAGCAGTGCTAAACAAGATGGCGTACAGACTACATATATTAACTGTTATAGTTCTCGTTGTATTTGGTGTGAATGCAAAGAGAAATGTTGCTGTTCTTAATTGTGACAATATACGTGTGTAAGTATTATTCAGATCTGTACTTGAATTTAAAAAAAAACATTATAGAACTTTTCTGAAATTTAAATTAGTTTTTGAGTTTTAATTGTGTAATAATTGTTGTTGTAACTCTTTCATATAATTAAAGAGCAATAAATTAAAATTAACGTTTGAATGAAATTAATACATATTTTTAAAAATAAATCTATGTACCTCTTAACATTCATATAATTTACAATCTCTATTCGCTTCTATCTACTTATATTTTGCCCTTTTTAAACTCGATCTCGATAAACGGTGAATAATTTCTTCTCATGTATGTAGTGGTGGAGACGTCGATGTTTCCAACAGTCAACCTGTGATTGTACCTGCCGACTGTAACAAGGGACAAATTCAGTGGCATTTGCCAAACAAGGACACGCACCTGCATGTGCAGTTCCTGAATCAGAATGCACCTCATTGCTTCACCAGTCGATATCCCGTGGCTTTTGCCAAGTATTCTGTGATTTTAAACAATGAAAGCAACACACCATATAGAGGTAAATTGGAATTTTTTTTTATGGACAGTCAATTTTTTTTAAAGCATGGAATGTTTTTTATGAACTATATCGTGTGATTTATAGCACTATTGAATATTTATATATACATCTCAACATCAAAAAACGGTATTGTTTGCCAATTTTTCATAATATATCTCTACATGAAACCGAAAAGTAAGAAAATTACTAATGGTTCTCACAAAAGTAACAATTGATTCAGATGTAGTTAAGGCATTGCTGTGGGATCATTACTTTGCTCCCCTTGTTCAAACACTTACCAGTTGGAGTTCAATAATACCACAAAACAGTCTGAAAACATAATATATAGGACTGCAGTGAACTTTTCTTTTGTTCTTTCCAAAATCTTTTAAATATAATTTATTTAGAATTATAGCAATGGTTTATGTAGTATATATGCTAAACAGTTTCACATTAAGATTTATTAGACTGTTTTCGGCCTTAATAGGTCTCAAATAATTTGAAGATTTTCACATAGAGCTGTATTTGGCATATTTCCTTTGCTTTATTCAAATATTGTTAGTAACTTACAGTTGTGATCTGTGACCATTTAGATGCCTTGTTTCTCTTTTGTATCAGGTCTACTCAAGAGAATATGAAATAAGGGTAAAAAAGGTCAACGAGCTTGAAACATGTTTTAGACTGTTCAACTAATCATCAATAACAAATAATTAACACAGTATTAATTATATGTATTAGTTATAAATTAATTGGAGACATCTTTTGGATAAAAGTGCGATTATGTTATTAGATTGATATGTACTCAGGGTACATATAATTGCTTCTGCTTCTGCAATACCTGCCCACCATTGACTGGTTATTCAACTGAAAGTCAATTTATGGAATATTTTTAATAAAACTTAAGTTCTTAAAATATATTTCAATTCTTATTGCTTTCTTTGTCTTTTTTCAGGAAACACGCCTTGTTTCTCAGCGTCAAATGTGGAAGTGGCAGTGGCAACAAATCGCAGACAATACGCCATATTTGTTGACTTTGAAACTTAAAAACTTTCACCTGTAGCAAAGTAACTGAAATATATCAGAAATCCACAATAATTTTACATTGATATTTCATGTGCATGTATTTTTCACATACATTTTCTTATTTTTTTTAATGTCATATAAGATTTGAAAATATTTCTCTTAATATGCAATAGCTGTGATATTTTGAAAATTAAACGATAAAACATTTAGGTGCTTGAATTATTTTCTTACTAGAATTAATGAGCAAAATGTGTAATGATTATGTTAAACATCATTTCAAGGTGTGTATGTGTTGTGAGGATGTGTGTGTTAAGATAAAAATAAGCGCAAAAATTGGAAAATCTCATCGGAAAATCAAAAGAACATGCAACAACACATTTCATACTAGAGGTACTGTGAACACTGAGTTCACAAAATGATACCCCCGCTCCATTTAAGTATAATGGCACGGATCATTTTTTCCTATAGGAAAGTCTGTCCGATCAAAACATAAAGTAGAAGGTGCACAATGGCACTGTGTAATAAAGATTCTGTGAAAGTATCATTAAATTTTATTCAGAGGTATAGGAGGAGTTGCGGATTAAAAAAAAATGGGTACCCTTGATATTAAAGAAAGAATGGCAGTGCCAATGTTTTGTTATGGGAAGCCTAAATATGTGTTTATTCAAAAAGTAAAATAGGAAGTGTACAATGGCACTGTGTGACAAAGATTCCTTAAAATTATTATTAATTTTTATTCAATGGTATAAGAGGAGTTGCAGATAAGAGATGGGTACCCCCGATTTTTAAAAAAGAATGGAAGTGTCTATGTTTTGCTATGTGAGACCCCAAAAATATACGCTAGATCAAAAAGTAAAATAGGACATGCGCGATGGCACTATGTAACAAAGATTCTGTGAGTCTCATTAAATTTTATTCAGTGGTATTAGATGAGTTGCGGATAAGTGATGGGTTCCCCAAAGCGTAACAGACGAATGGACGTACAGACGGACAGTCACACCCCCATCACTATACACCTTGAAAAGCGGGAGTATAATTAGCATTCAAAGAGAGATAATTCATATGGTTTATTTGTAAGAAGCATTAATCTGTAAATATCATAGTTTAAGGATAAATAACAGATAAATAACAGAAACAAACTTTTTTTTTCAGAAATCAGCAATATTCATCATAGATTTATATTTAAATTAGTTACCTGAATAATGTTTACTAGGTATAGTGGGATAATTTTATAAGATTTTGTAATAAGGGTAAAAAGTTGTACAAAATTTGGTATAGAATTAAATAGAAAAGCGACACAAAGTCTCATATCTAAGCACCAAAAAATAAATAAATAAATAAATAAATACGATTTCATTATTTTTAGGGATTTATTATTTATGTCATTTCAAATCAAAATCAGTCAAAAAACATTTATTAATCCATGCATCAAATTTTTCTTTGTGTTAAGTACCCTTAAGGCAAATACAGATTCATTACAGCCAGGAAAAGTTGTACAGTATACATACTAGTATACTATAAGAAAATAGAATATTTTCTGGAGATTGTTATACATTTGGAACATAACAACAACTGTCTTTTTCTCAGTTTTTACGAGTATAAAGAAGTTCTGGTGATTAAAGATAGATTGACATTATAATATTCGTGTGTGTCACGAAAAATCAGTGCAAAATTAAGCCCAAAAGTCAACGCAAAATGAAGCCTGCGGTGAATGTAGAACGCTGAAACTCATATTAAGCTTTCAGTTTCGAATTTTTTTTCTAACAAAAACATTGTCTTTTAATACTTTAGAGCAGCACATGAAATATGGAGATAACGAACAGTATTCAAGCTCAAAGTCAATTTAGACAATGCAAATCGGTAGCAGAGCAAACACGGACCTCCAGAAACATCAGAGGTGGGATCAGGTGCCATGGAGGAGTGAGCATCAATAATAAATTCCAGAGAGCATATTTATGATAAAACAAAATTAAATACACACCCATTTTCTTGTTTAATTCAAGCTTTTATCAAGCAAAAATTGGTAATTCTAGCTCACATTCATACTAAAACTTGAAGCCCACGAAAATCACTGCTAAAAATATCATCAAGTTTATGTAATAATAAATATGATCTTCGAACAGGAGGTTAACATTTTAAACATTACAACAACAGATTTGCTGCAACATAAAAAAGAATTTAGAGCATAAAGATTGCTGTCTTACAACGCTAATTAGGAGTTCTAATATCGGTCGCGATTTGCAATATGCATTTTCCAGGAGAAATCATAAAATTGTGAAAGTAGGGTAACATTAACATTATGACATTTCTAAATACAAAGAAAGTTCTTATAGATGAATTTCTTTGCACAAAATTTGTTGGTAAAGAATAAGTTTTCTGAAGGAGACTGATTAGAAACATTAGTGTTCACTACTGAACTCCCAAGGGAACAGTGTCTGTCTAAATACTAGACTAGAATATTTTCAAAATCAGATCAAAATTCAGATGGTCTTTGAAGTATTCCATACAGAAGCGTATTAGTGCCACTTGGACACTTTTTTTATTTTTCATTTTCCACACCTTAATCTGTAAATTTTACACTTTAATCTGTAAATTTTACACATTAACCTGTAAATTTTACACATTAACCTGTAAAATTTACACTTTAATGTGTAAAATTTACACTTTAATCTGTAAATTTTAGACATTTATCTGTTAAATTTACACTTTAATCTGTATAATTTACACTTTTATATGTTTACGTCATATAATCAGTTTCGCAACTTCATACATCTTAAGTAACACGCTTTTAAGCTAAAAAAAAACATGAATCCTGCATGATACAATTTAATTTTGATTTCTTATTTAACAATAAATGTGGAAAATAATTACTTATCAGATATTTTATGTATGGATATAATACAAATAATAAGTAATCTAGTATGACTGATACATGTATAAGTGAGACTTTCATAGAATATTACATTCTACATCTATTACGGGCACCAATTGAATTACTTACTGAGTTGAACATTTTTAACTAACCAATTAATATATTAATTATTAAAGTATATACATGTAAAAAATTAAAGTATATGAGTTTATATTAATTTTGGAACAGCATAGAAATTAATATCCTTTGATTCAATGATGTTTCTTTATTGTTACGTTCTAAAATCACCGTAATTTTAACTGTTATATTTTACATTATGACCATAGACCCATAAACTTGCAATAGCAGTCTGAACTGCAAATGAGAAGACAAAAATATTTGATATATATATATTTGAATATTCATCGCTGTTTACTATAGTACTAAAGAAATATACCGGATTGAAAGCAGATTCCCGATATTTTGCTGGGGAGAATTTCGAAGCCAATGAGCAAATCGCTTATCCTTACTCCTCATATATACATGTATAAACTGTTATGCAAACACTTGTGCATATCTCAGATTTAAACTCTCTTTCAAATGTCATAGGTATAACATCATGAAACGACCGCGTTCGATTATTAAAAATTACAGTACAAGTTTTTCAGATATAACTGTAAAATTTACAGATTATTGTGTAAAATTTACGGATTAAAGTGTAAATTTTACAGATTAATGTGTCAATTTTACACTTTAATGTGTAGATTTTACATTTCAAAGTGTAAATTTTACACATTAAAGTGCTTTAAAGTGTAAATTTTACAGAATAATGTGTCAATTTTACACTTTAATGTGTGTAAAATTTTACAGATAAAGTGTAAATTTACAGATTAAAGTGTAGAAATTAAAGAATAAAAAGTGTCAAAATGGCACTATTACGCTTCTGTTCTTATGGCTTGAATCATACATTAGAAAAATCGGGGAAAATACATTTTAATTCTATGAAATGTCACAAAACCATCTAAACCACTTTTCAGTGAATAGGTAATTCTTGACCATGGCAAGTTCCAGGCTCTACTTTCATGCGAAAATGAAAAATGGTACTTCCTATTTTCCAGCTTTCACTACCGGGATGACTTTTAACATTGCAGCCATTTTTATTGTTGCATTTTGCTCTTATCCCAATCTGAAAAAAAATCACTTAAGCTGAATAAAAGGTAATTAGAGAACTTGAGCATACTCACATCCGATTTACTAATGTTCGAAAATTTGGGTCATTTCAGGCATTCTTAAAGCTATCCAATTAAAATTTTCTACATAAGGATGCTCGCTTATTAGTTTCAATTTTTAAATTTAGCTGATTTCGATACAAAATTTTGATATTTTTGCTGAAATATTCTTAGGAAAAATAATATCAAACGGAGAAATTGACTATCTTTAATATGTATCAAAAGATATTTTACACATATATTTTGATGGATTTCAAACTTTCAATCTTCGACCTGAAAACGTAAACGGATCTTAAGATTCAAGTTAACTGGAGGCAAGAGAGTGACTTAGAACTATTCTGTTACAGACACTTGATGTTACAAATCTTCTTTTACAAAATTATCCCAATCACAAAATGTGCACCTTGTGATTTATAAGGTATAAGGTCAATTATTTTCATTAAAAAATATGAAACGTCAAGTGCCTGCGTATTCTCTCACATCTTTATATTTCTTCTTAGCACCAGCTGATTCTCTATTACAGGTCAATCATGTTTTGGATAATCTTGATTTTCAGAAATTGAAAAGCAGGTAAATATATGTTCAGACTTTACTTGTGAATTGATAATGATCCGTAATTTCAAAGTTCATAAATTTTGAATATGTTATCAAATAAATGAATATTATAATAGAAAACCTTAATTTGTTGATCATATGTGACACACAACAACAAATAGGTGAAACTTGCTTCCAAGAAGGAAATATGTAAATATCTACTTATTACCACATCTATTTAAGTTGACTATGTTCCACACGCTCGAGCTCCTCACGCTATATTCTAGTCCTCGTGTGTAACTTGTGTTGACGAGGACACATCTACATTTAAATCTACTTTATTTCCTTTTCCCGATAAAATTTAAGTTTTCAATTTTGAATTATTAGAATGGTCATAACTTACGCGAGGAAGGAAAGATGCATCTGTGCTAATTATTTTTTATTGACATGAGAGGCTGGACAAAACAGTTGATTTTATTTTAAAAAATTGCGTCTCTCCTTGACCAAGTAAAACAATTATGAATACTCAGAAAAAATTATATGACACAGTAATCCACAAAGGTTCAATATGATAAACAATGTTTTCTATAAAACATCTGAGAGCACAATTTACAAAGAGTAGAACGATGAAACAACATATTTCCATATTTTTTTAACCAATATTCTTTCTTCTATTAAAGTCCATCTAATTTTGTGGAATGATAAATATATTAACTCTTCAGATATGAAAATTATTTTCTTTTGAAGTTATCATTAATTTGGATGCATTCATACTTAGGGATTAATATGAATTTAAGATTTGCTTTTTCGTCAGAATCGAAATCGGTTGGTGGAATTTTCTGGAAGAAATTGCAATAACAAGAATATGTACATGTACTTCAATCTAATTATAATCATCTAGTTACCATTCTTCGTACAATCCTTCTACAAAAACAAGTGAATAAAATCTTCAAATTGACGCCTTCTCACCTGAACAAAATGTTCTGTTTCCGTAGGTTTGACATCTACACACAGAGTTTTCTCTTTGTTACTGTGTTCTGTTGTGTAGTAAGCATACACGGTCTGCGATGTCCAGCTGCACGGCCTGTTGGTCTCTTGGACACCAGCGCAATCTGATGCAGTCTGGTTAGAAAAGCAATGGGGGAAATGTACCGCATTTCCACAGGTCCTTGTTTTGATTTCTATAGAGTCATACTCATTTGGAGAGTTGAAGACCAGTTGAGGGTTGTCGTGGTTGCTTTCATGAACCGCCATAGTGTACGCTAAGGTGAACCGGTAGCTATGTACTTGAAAATTAATGAAATGTACAGTGCGTGATAAAATGAATGTTAAACATGTATTATATTATATAATACGAAAAGACAATGATTAAGTTCACAACTTGGAACACCAACTTTTCCTCTGTTAGTACTTTTTTGTTCTTTATGGTTATTTATCCGTTACTTTGTTAAATCGGTTTATAATTCATTAGAAAAGTATGCACTAATCAAATTTACCCAATCCAATTTCCTCTGACTCAACAGTAATGATTTCCCCTGGTTCTGAGTTAAGTTTGCTCCAAATCTCGTTCTGAATGTGTAAATATATATATATATATATATATTTCCTCAAATATTTTAATAAATGTAAGCTTTTATCACTGATATATATATATATATATATATATATATATATATATATATTTCCTCAAATATTTTAATAAATGTAAGCTTTTATCACTGATATATATATATATATATATATATATATATATATATATATATATATATATATATATATATATATATATATATATATATATATATATATATATATATCAGTGATAAAAGCTTACATTTATTAAAATATTTGAGGAAATATAAAAAGAAAAGTATATAAGTATATGTACAATATACATGTACGGCATTTACAAAAAAGAAAATTTGACTGATATAATGAATAAATAAATTCTCACAATAGAAAACTTAAGAGATTATATTTCAAATAATTTTACGAAATCTTTTATTTTTTCACTACCTTGTAAATATGAAAAGGTAACACTTGACTTACACCCTCTGTAAAATGGTTCCCGATGATATTTTTGAAAAAGCACTTTGTGTCAGAAGGAGACTGACATTCATCTGCAAGAAAAAAAAAACAACAAAACAAATGCATTGAAACAAACAAATAAACATACAAAAAAAAAAAAAAAAAAAAAAAAAAAAAAAAAACGAAACAAAACAAACAGACAAAGAAACAAAAAACAAAACAGAAACAGAAAAAAATGAAAAAAGGAGGAATGGTTTTATGGCGATACATATAATAAAAGTTTCTTGCAAATCATCAGAACAGTGTCACAGAAATTAAATTAAGATTAAACGGCATACATTTATATATTTGATGATTTTTTTTTTCTTTGCAAAACCAATCTAATATACTGTTTGTTATCATCCAATAGTAAACACTTTCAACATCGACCTTGCTTATAATAAAAACATGCCAATATTGAAGTCGAATATGTATTTTTTTCGAAAAGAATGGCATAGAGATAAAATATCGTTTGGATGTTAATAAGTCTCATAAATATATTTGTCAAAACGGCAAAATTTATCTCAGCTGTCCTTGGATTTTGAATAACTGTTAATACTGAATTTTTGTGCAAAGCGTTGATTTTTACAGTCGATGGCTTACTTTAGCATTTAAACCTGCAAAAAGTGCGGAGGAATGGAATTGATAATAGATAAGAAATCCTTAATAGTGGTTATAGGTATGGTGTTAGGGGCGCTTATATTATTTACCTGTATATAATAATCTGAGGCGGAATAAAATAACATAAATACTTTACATATATTCCTGAGGGGTAGTATTTCCTTTCAATTTCATTTTCTGAAGGAAACAGATAAGGAAGAAAACATGGCAGGAGTTGGTCAAAGTGGGAAGGGAGGGATTAAGGATAGGGTGGTTGCCGTTTCCTTCCTTGACAACGTAATATTTGATTTAATATGGCCCATTTTTATCATTAACTTTTAAGCTAAATATTTATATCGTAAAAGAGCTACCGTATATTGCCCTAGCGTAAAAGTAAGTCATTGACTGTAAAAGTAGGCTCTTCTTGCAATAGTCCACTAATATTAAGGCACTTACAAACATACTGGCACTGCCTTCCCCAGTATGGAGTATCGCATTCGCAGTGTACAGTCCAATTCGAGTCTCCACCAATACACAGTCCTCTTTTATTGCAATAGTGTGGCTCTTTGGAACAAGTGTCTTAAATAGAATAGGATATTGTCATGAAATATGTTGAGAGAGAGAGAGAGAGAGAGAGAGAGAGAGAGAGAAATATTTTCTACAAACCAAAACAAGTTTGTCTTTTCTTCAAATTTAATTCCTCTGGATGTGGAAGAACTCCAAATATGGATTCCTGTGTAAAATGTATCAAAGCAAAAAGGATCAAAAGAGACCACATCTTTCTGCTCACAACATACGGTGTTCACAATTAAATACTGACATGAATTATAACATATATTGATTGTTGTTAATGCATTTCAAGGGGAAATACATGTACAAAAAATATTCTATGAACCATCCACTACTTAACAGTTTATTTTATTACATATCTAAATACCATATCATTTATCTTTTTTTCTATTTACGGTAAATATGTTATTAAAAAAGATATGGATTATGGACCTAAATAAAGATTTGGACATACTTCCTATGAAATTTATCAGTAATCAAATTTTTAGAAACCAATGATTATTTTAAAACGTAAGAAAATTCATAAGTAGTTAACAATAAATAGGTTGTACTTCGTTAATGCATAATATTGACTATGCTTGATATTAAGTGAATGTAAAAGCATTTTCGCCAGGTGTATTATCAGCAATGTATGAAACCTTAAAAGATTTGCTATCTGTGATGATAAATATATATATTTTTTGATTTATGATATAGTAATTATGGGAACACTTCTTGGCTCCAAAATTAGGAGTATGAAAATAGGAATTTCTGTACAATATGGTATTAAAAATTGCCGCAGAGCGAGCCATTGGTAAATCATAACACATCACCACAGCATATAATACAAATCTTTATTTTTTTTATCTATAATATACATCTCCTCTCTACCGGAAATCATAGTTCTGCATCTGGACATGATTAAAAAAAAGTCCACCAGTGCAATGATTCACATTACTCCCTCTTTTTTTAAATGTCTTTTTTTCTTTTTTTCCACAAATGTGTGCTTGAGGTCAAGACCTAGTAAATGAGTTTAGACTGTCTTTTTGGTGCTAGATCCATTATGACGTCATAATTGATTTAAACTTAATTTTTCCCGTACTTTACGGCTATTATAGAATTATGTAGAAAATGAAACATTTTCATGGAATTCAATTTGAAATCATGTCAAAATTAACCCCGATACCTATATTCAAATTAATATTATTTTAAAGAAGAGGTCAGTAAGATAAGAAAAACTGTTTTCTGAGAGACTGTAGGCAATATTGATACATTTTCTTTTTCTGAGAAGGAAAAAAGTCCCATATTTATACCTGACTTCCTTCATTTTTCATTGAAAATAACAGTTTAAAGTATCTTTTTTCGTTGAGTTTACCTAAAATTTATGCCCAATACACCTAATTTCCTCAAGTTATATTGTAAAGGATCATTGAAAGAACTTGTTTCTCAAATTTGAGAAATCTGAAGGCACCTTTCATTTACTAGATCTTGACCTTAAGTCACAAATATGAAGGTTAAGACAGTGCATCCTCAAACGGGCGCTCATGGCTAATGGTTGAGACTTGTAAATGCTGTTTCACACCATATCTTGTGAAATTTATTTACTAGTATATAATTTCGTAACTGTGCAGTGTTTTCATTTTATCTTAGTATCAAATTTCTTCAATTTGATTTGACTGTTTTCACCAAGGGAGATGATTGAGTACTGACACACTATTTTTATATCATAATAAAGTTTTACATAAAAGGGATAAAAATAACGCCGCTTTACCAATTTCATAAATCCTTTAATGAAATATGGAGATAACAAACAGTATTCAAGTTCAAAAGTCCATTGAAACAATACAAACCGGGAGCAGAGCAAACGCGGACCTAAAAAAAACATCAGAGGTGGGGTCAGGTGCCGTGGAGGAGTGAGCATCCCCTGCCGAATGGTCACAACCGCCGTATGCTCCTTGTCATGATCGGGAAATAACGGAAAAATCCGTCGACAACTCAGTGTGTAAATAATAGCCCAGCAATTAGTATAAAACACGTCAGTCAGCATATGACTAGATGGTAGATTGTTTTTGCTGACAAGGTCATTGCACCGACCATAGAACTTACGAAATGATGACTTTAAACGAGAATGTTGATATTCTTGTTTCATCAACTTGTATGTCAATAACTTACCTCGTTTTAGAAATTGTTCATACGCAGAGCATGCTCTTACGTATCGAATCAACTGAGAGATATACCGGTACACCCCATATGAAGGTGATAAGGATATATATTGCTGCATAAGTAAGGGAAGTTGATGATTGAAAAGTTAAAGGCATCACGTTTAGCAATATCTAAAATTTTACATCACAGACCCCCACTTTTGATTTTCTTTTATGAATATATAAGATAATTTTAACCATTCCGTTTAAATTCAGTAAAATAGTATTACTTTCAAATGATTTTATTGCTTGTTAAATTTTTAATGCCAGAAAAATGACATTTTTGAGTGCAGAAAGGTCAAATAATTGACTATGCGAAGTAATTTGAAACTTTTTTGTAGTCACAAATTTTAATGTGACTATTCAAGATGAAAGAAGACTGTGTTTGCTCCCGTTATTTATTTGGACAAAAAATATTACGAGGAAAAACTTTGAAAAATTTATTTTTGTGTTTGACATAAAAAGGTGCGTAGAACTCATATTAAATGTTCCGTGGCCACCATTTTTTTGATCAGATTTTTAATTAAGCTATGTGTGTAGATTCTAAAAATACACTTGATAAAAAATTCTCATTACTTTTGATAACAGGATCCAACCTCCTTAAGAAGTATGGAAGCAACAGTCGATGTATATTTGTAGGAAATACAGGGTAGTCTTCAATTTGAAATATGGTGGAATATAAGACTGGACCCTTTTGTGATTAAGGTCAAGATCTAGTAAATGAAAGGTGCCTACAGATTTCTCAAATCTGAGAAATCAATTCCTTTAATGATGCTTTATAACTTTAGTTTGGTCAAATAAGGTGTTTCTGGGCATAATTTGTAGATAAACAAGACGAAAAATCATATTTTAAACTGTCATTTTCGATGAAAAATTAAGAAAACCAGTCATGAATACGGGAGTTTTTTCCATATCAGACAAAGGAAATGTTTCTGGGCATAATTTGTAGATAAACAAGACGAAAAATCATATTTTAAACTGTCATGTTCGATGAAAAATTAAGAAAACCAGTCATGAATAGGGGAGTTTTTTCCATATCAGACAAAGGAAATGTATCCAGATTGCCTACAGTCTCTCAGGAAACGGCAATTTGTATGTTCTTGGCTTTTTCTTTAAAATAATATTAAATTGAATATAGGTATCGGGGTTACTTTTCACATGGTTTCAAATTGAATTCCATGAAAATACTTTATTTTCTACATAAATCTATTAGAGCCGTAAAGTACGGGAAAAAGAAAGTTGAAATTGATTATGACGTCATAATGGATCTAGCACCAAAACGTTAGTCAAGTCATTTACTAGATCTTGACCTTAAGAATATTACTTATATTAACCGCGTCTCAATTTCTTTGTTGGCATATTGAAGTTTGAGGAAAAAACGGGTAGTTTCAGCTGTATTTACTTCGATAAAACGTGGCGATTTAAAAAGCCTATGATTTGCAATATCCATAACCACAGAGCCTGTATTCTGGTGTCGAGGAATCCAAATATGGACTTTCCTCGACTTTAACAAATAGACTATTCAAAACCTTCAAGGGGACAGAGTAAAGTTTGGTGATGAATGTGATGAAGGCCTAATTATTTATTTACGTAAGATGGACCTAAGTTAGACCTATACTCGGCACTCAGGGCCATTGAGCAGTGAGGGTTCTTTATCGTGCCAACGCCTACTGTGACAGGGGACCACGGTTTTTAAGGTATCCGAAAAACTTGTGACTTTCACTTCTAGTGACGGGCGCTTGGCGAAGGAACAGTCACTACCAATTTTTACATCTTAGGCGAACGAGAATCGAGCTAGGGCCTCCCGATCACGAAGCAAGAGCCCTATAGCTACCATTAGGCTACCGTGACCGGCCAACGTCTTTACTGAGTAAAACATCCAAATGGAAACAAAACTCACAGACTCATTAGTTTTTCTGTATTTTATATTGATATATCGGTATCTCGAACACTGATTTCTCAAATACCATGGGCATGTCGAAGTGATTTTGAAGTCCCAACCCTTTATTCTTTAAGTATTTTACCCTGGGTATCTAGAATCCTTGGTTATCTCGAAGATTTTTCTCGGTCCCATTGAGTTCGAGATAACGACGTCTGACGGTATATATTTTTATCACATGTTTTCTCTTTTATACAGTGGATATAGCTCGTAGAATATAGTTTTCATATCCACGGTTGTATCAGCACAATTGTTTTTGCATGAATTTGATAATTCAAGAGAATTTGTGACTGCGTCACAAGTGATGGTAAGCCTAGCGTGAACAAGAGTAAATTGGAATCTAGACAGTAAATAAAGTAAAAAAGTATATAAAGGTGCTTTAAAGATTCATCAAGATAAATTGACGTTAAAAGGAGATTGATAATTTTGAAGAGTTTGACAATGTGAATTTGGACGAAACACGATATTGACGATAGTCAAGATGTTTGGGCGCTTTAATTTCGAATTAAAGTATGCTGTATTCAATCAACTAAATAATAATTTCTTGCAGGACAATTGTCCTAGAGGGTCGGTATGGGGAGTTGAGGACTGCCATTGTTTTAAGAATAGTGTTTTGCTGTAGATATATCATTCAAACGCCGTAGCGTCACCCGTATGGCGCAGTGGTTAAAGCGTTTGCTCGAAAGTCGGATATTTAGATGATCCTTAAGTTGCAGGTACGAATCCCACTGGAAATTCGCCTAGCCGTCTATGAGATTGATCAAACCGATGTATTTTTGTAGACAGCCAGTAACACACCTAATAAGTAAATTAAGATTTTCATCTATATTAGAGGAAACAGCAGCTCTCTACTGATAGATTTATCTGCATGACGATTCATTCTGTACTAGGCACTGTGTTTCCGTATGGTAGCAACGGTCTCATAAATATTGTATGAAATTTTTCAAGCCAAGAATGTGCCAGTGTAAATGTGATGGGAATTTTAACAATACACCTACATGAAGTGGTAATCATAGACACCGGTCATGCAAGAGACCAAATATACATGTCTCTAGATTCACTTATACCTTATGTCTATAAACAGTTAGGTCTTCATCACAATTTCACTAAATTTTACTCGATTCCCTTGAAATTATTTGAATGGACTATTTGAAGAAGCTAAAGCAAGTCCATACTTGGAATCTTCAATTGCAGAATAGAAGCTAGTGTTTGTGATTATGAATATTGCCCAGCGCAGATTCTTTAATCCATCACATGTGTCTGAAGATAATAATTCTGATTTAATCCATCGGTTCCTTAAATTCAAATCCCTCCCCCCCCCAAAAAAAAATGCTGAAGGCCTCTGAGTGACCTCTAAAATTTATGCGCCAGCTGGCTCCTAATCCAAAAATTAGTCGCCAATGCAATTTTTAGTCTGCAGGCAAATTTTCTAAGGAGCCAATTTTAAAGTTGATATTAGTCTATATAGGGACGCATGGGAGTAGTCACGGGATGGGACGTCTAGTGCCCCTTCCAATTTTGAAAAAGGGGGGACAGGAGTATCTTTGTGCCCCCAATCACACCTCCTGATCAAAAACGAAATATAGGTGATACAGTAACTGGAAATGTTCAAGGTAGAATTGTAAAAATCCATTCTTGCTTTTCAAACATTCTATATTATAATTATATAATAATTTGTATAATATATATAATATAAGGTTAACTTTACTTTCCACGAGCAATAAATGCATTCACAAACAAGAAAACGTAAATAAAAAATCAATATCAAATTCGAGGGTTGTCCGGTAAAGTCGTGGACAAGTTGTTTAGAGTGAGAAATGATTATCACTGATTTTAAAAATTTTCACTACTCTTTAGTTTTAGAACATTTTTCATCAATAAACATAGCAAATTTCAAATAGATATAAGCTCAAATAAACAAAATTTGCGATTTTATGTTATGCATGGTATCGCCTTTTTGCGCACGGATGATAAAGAGTCTAAAGCAACGTCACGTTTCCTTTTTGCTGAAAAAAGTTGAATAAGCCCCACTTTAATTCGGGAATTTCATTGATGCACATAATTCGAGTTTCCTTTTATTCATCCATAAACATTCGAGGAACTAATCTCGCGCGCACGTTAGTCCTTCTGAAGACTACCAAACTGCCAATAATTAAGCAAATGTCTTGAAATTTTCCAAATGACAACATAATAGATGGTGGATTAAAAATATGATAAGCTTTACCCCAATCCTATCTATTCAATACTTTTATTTCGAAATAAAACTATATTATTATATTATATATTATATACTAATAATATATTCTCTAATGAAACCCTGATTTTTTTTTATCGTGCCCGTACAACCGTGCCCTTTGCACATTCAAGTATAATAAAATCTTTATTTTTTGTCTATATTTTATGCAAAAATTTAGATGTACTTTATTTATGATAAATAAACATTTCCTGAAAATTTCAGCTTAGTGCGTCCATTATTTTTCAATGAAAACGTTTTGTCCACGATTTTACCGGATAACCCTTGTATAAGCAGATAATTGTTAGAGGTTTTTAATCAAGCTTGTATGTAAGACTCTAATATTCAAAAAGTTATAATATATTATTTCTTTTAATGAAACTAAAAATTAAAAAAAATATTCTTTAAAAATATTATAATATTCTTTATATGATTAACATGTTATGCTCGTCTGTACAATTACGACCTAATACTATAGTGTTGACAATATTAAAACCTCTAATGAGTGAGAATTTAGTTTGCAAACAATTGTCCACATCACCAGTCCAATTTCTTGCATTCCACAGTTGTCGATTTCCTGGATTAAAAAAAATACCTGAGACAGCTATTGTCGTTTATGGTCTATCTGACCTCTGTTTGCAATGACGCGACGCGAAATTTCGTACGCTCTTGCGCTGTAAAAGCAAACAAAGTGACAAAGAAAACACAAGACATGTCCATTGGTAAAAATGATTATTAAATATGGAGATAACGAAGAGTATTCAAGCTCAAAAAGTCTATTCAAACAATACAAATCAGGAGCTGAGCAAACTCGAATTCTATAACATCCGAGGTGGGACCAGGTGCCACTGAGGAGTGAGCTGCCGTGTGCTCCTTGTCATGATTGGGTAAAACGTAAAAATCCGTAGAAAATTTAGTCCTAACAATTAGTATGAAAATCGTTAGTTAGCATTTGACTTACTGATAGATTGCATTTGCTGACAAAGTCATTATATCGACCATAAAACTTGCAAAATGATGGTTTCTTTAAAATTTCTTTCGACTCTTCAGAAAAAAAAATGTTGAAAATGTTTATAGTTCTAGAATTTGACAATCTTCAAATCAATTTAAAATGGTTGCCAACCTGGCGCTTATAGAGAAAATTTAGGCGCCATGGCGACTAAATTAGTCGTTAATTAAAGCCCTGTATTATGAACACTAGTAACATTATTAATCATAAAAGAGTTCAGTCTTGTATTCCACTATATTTTAAGTTGAGGTCTACACCCTGCATTTTGGACAGATATTCCCAAACTGTTGCTTCCAAACGTCTTTCAGTTGGCGGCAGAACTTCATTTCTATTATGAATTCTGTTGAAGATCATGTCATACGTTGGGCGAAATATAAAGAAGATCTGAACACTTTGTCAGGATGGATTGTGTTTTAGAAATATATTTAAAAAATCGTGTTAGAAAGTTCAAAGGCAACATGCGAACCATCTATGCTTCCGTTTTCACTAAATCGGAGGTGGTAACAGATTTAAGATGACTGTATGACCAATATATTATGGTTCCAGTAGACAAGGCTTGTAACAATTTCGTCCTAGTTTATAAGGATCATTATTAAAACTGTATTTCAGGACTTGTTTTAATTCTACATCTGAAAATCCAATTTATACCCACAGTTCACTTTCCTGGGAGGAGATTCTCCAAAATCGCATTTCATTTTTCAATACTCTTAACATTCAAGTCAACGAAAGTAAGTTCGATAGACCATACCTAATAAGATACTGGACCCCTAAACTTCATATAAATCCTTATAAACAAAGATACAAAAAAGTGCTCTATTAAACCCTTATCTTTACTTCTCATAAAAATATTAACTGCTGTAAAGGAGAAATTTCAGACGTACTGTACTACAGCATATACGAGAGGCGATGTAATTCAACTATGGATTCTCAAAAAAGCCAAAGAACGTTTATAAAATTAAAATCACTTTAATAAAAATATTAGTGACATCAAGACGTTCGACTCTTCTACACCATAGACAGCAATTCCTTTCGATAAATTAAAATCTAGGCTTTTTGATAACATAAATAACTGTTTTTCAGTAAACATGCAACTCAGAAATTTTTATATTTGATAGCTCTTCAAAAAAAATTACTTTGTTAAAAATCACTCTGATTTTACACACAAGAACTCTGAAGTTGGTATTAAAGGGTGTTCATCATTGACAATATTTATGTAGTCTTTGGTGACCAGGTCTTCCAACAAACTGTTGGAATTCCGATGGTTACTAATTGTCCTTCTTTATTAGTCGACCTACTTTTTATATTCCTATGGCGAAAAAAATATCAAAAAACCTCTACATGGGAAGAAGAAAACAGTACTTGTTGTGAATTCAACTCGACATTCACACAAATTGAGAATATAGGCACTGCATTTTCGTATGGTTGCGACGACCACATAAATGATGTAGGTAATCTTTCAAGCCCACAGTGTACCGGTGTGAATGTGATGGGAATTGTTAACAATACACCTAGACGTAGGCGTAATCATAGACATCGATCATACAAAAGACCAAATATATATGATGTCTCATTTGATTCACTTTTATGTTACGTCTGCAAACCATAAGGTTTTCATCACATTCGCACTAAACTTTACTCGGTTCCCTTGATTTTTTTTAATGGATTATTTGAAGAAGCAAAAGTAAATCCAAACTTGGACTCTTCTATTATAGAAAATCAGGTTAGTGTTTGTGATTATGGATGTTGCCCATCAACATGCCCTTTAAGCCAACACATGTGTATCTATTTAGCAGATCCGACATTTATGATAAACAGTGTTGTTGGTTTTTTTTCAGTACATTGAAATATAAAGATGATCAAAAGTTTGGAAAACATTTCTTTATTCAGGTATCACTTAATTTATTTCAATGAACAATATTGAAATGTTCACATGTACCAGGCTCAAACCTTATGGAATATTTTATCGTTGTTGCTCCAATATTATACGCGCTACACCCCTTTGGATTATTGCAACTTGCTTTGACACCAAACTGAAATTTACAAAAATATAAAAGTAGATGTTTGTAATGATTCAAGTTGACAACGTTAATTTAAAACACTTTATTAACTTTATTACCTAGCAAGGTGGTCCTGTCAAATGTATTTCATAAATTTTCAATCTAATGAAGGCAAAAATATATTATGTGAAATGTTATTTATAGGAAACCTTTCTCCGACTACTTTTTTCCCCGATAAAGTGAATTTTCAGACTAGTGAGTCGTGGATCTGAAAATCTTACATTCACATCTACTGCTTACTAATATTACACACTTTTTTCAAAGTGCGATATTTCTCTTCATTTAACCCGTCTGACTTGTGTAATTGATCTGATAAAAATGTGTGCTACTATTTTCTAGAACCAGACAATATATTTCTTAACTTCTTACAATTTTGCCTCACTATTCTATATCTTTAATTCCTCTTTTTTTCTCCTTTTAGAAATATAATACTGCGCTTTCATTATGCTTTGTTGGCAACTAAATTACGTGGTTGAGATAGACCAAAAAATTAACTGAATAACAAACTAGAAAACTAATAAAATATAAACCATGTAGCTGTCCACGAACTTACATATCAAATAAATTGTATTCTTGGCTAAAACCACGAAATTTGATCCACTGAAAAATTAATGAAACCAGGACCTATGTGACTTTCTCATGAGAAAATTTGTACTTACTTCCATGAAACGTTTCCCTTGAAATGGTCGAATGTCGATACAGACGACTCTTTTCTTGTCAGAGTAATTCCGAGGATAATAGGCGTAGTAATCAATTTTCTTATAGCTGCAGACGTTATAGCCAGAAGATGGTTTCTTGCATTCTTTTTGTTCTTTAAACATACAGAAGCCATCCTTTTCTTGCGTGCACGCCCTCAGCAATACTTCCAAGGAGTCAAAGTCATACGGAGAGTAATATATGACCTTTGGATGGTAATTAAGGAGATTAGCAGCCAGTGTGTAGGTCAAAATCAGACGGAAGGGTTGAGCTTTAATGTGATAAACATTAATAATTAGATTTTCTAATGCGTTAGATATTTCATTAAAGAAATAACATTTCTTCAAAAAAGATGCTCTGAACTCATAATATAAATTGATGAATTGTAGTGCTTTTATACAATCTCACCAACAAAGATTGGTTTGGTTGTGGCTAAGAAAGTTCCGTCTTTTGCACTTTCAAATCCTATGGTCCTCTAATGAAAAAATAAATCTACAGTAAAGCAGCTTATTCAAGAGATTATTGCGAATCATCCTATTGAAAAACATCATTTATCTGTAGTTTAACCATGTTTCCTTTATCATTAGATAACAGAAAATCTTACACTTATTTCGTCTAAACGTGCATTTCCCTGCATCCGGCCATAAAATATACATGACTGGTCATTCTTGGAACATTCCTCTACGAAATAAAAAAAAGAATAAAATCAATAACTAGCATAAATAAATTTAAACCCTAATACATATTTTCACTTTTTCTATTCTTTATAGAGAAACACATTGTAAAATTATATATCCTTCTGGTCTAACATCTTTTCTTAAAGAAAATATATCGTTCTCGATTTCAAGTTGCTTTTCTTTTGACTTTTACTGATAATTTTAATAATGATTAAAACTCAAAATTCCCCACTTTTTGTAGATCTTTAAGCAATATTTTGGAGGATTTTTTTTTTTAGAAAAAACCTGTGACTGTTAGTTTTTTATGCATTCAGTTCCGCTTTAATCAAGATAAAAAATTGATTTAAATTAAACCATTAACTATTAAGGAGCCATTTTTCACTATGAGTCATCAATTACTAGTAGCTAGATCTAAAATTTTATATATAAGAATTGAAGTGTATTCCGCACTTATTTTGAATTTAAAAACACAAGTGCTCCAAGCCTTAATGCTTAATTCTGAGTGTATCTTTGATTGTTTTAAAATTGCATTTGCAGAAAGTAAACTGTAAAAAAAAAATCCATGCAATTACCAGAAAATTCACATTTTCTTCCAAACCACCCAGATTCGCATTTACAATGTACCAATCGTGAATCATCACCCCGGACGCAGAGGCCTTTCCCATGGCAGTATTGTCTGTCTCTGTCACACTCACCTGAGGAAAAAAACAAGTCCTTATCTTAATTTGAATAATCTTCTTCAAAATCTTCATTTGATATTTTTGAATAATTTTTTTTTAATAAATACTGAATTTTAATACATGTATAATATGCATAGGATGACATACCACAGCCTTCATATGAAGACACCGGAATAGTGAACAAAATCAGAAGGCAAGCTACTAGTCGCATCTCTCGGGAGGAGGTTTTCTATCTAAAATGAATATAAAAAGTGATAAATCACATATAAAGGAGTTCATATAAATACGTTTTTATTGAACTATTCGTCAGATTATAATGAAATATCATTCTAACAAAGTAGTTTTATTGATTTTATTAATATATATAATTATAAATTATATGCATTTGAAAGAACGGAACGATATTATCAGTAATAATATTGCACTGCTTTTAAGCCACTTAAGTAAAAAGCTTAGATAAAAACTTGAAAAGATGCGATTGCTTGAATATGTGACTGAGTAAATTAACTTATCTTCTCTAAGAGATGAAAAATTTCACACAGATGAACATTTAGCAAGTTTGATACATGTACCTAATTGATCTATAAGGTCCTTTTTACATATCAATAGTTATTACAACAAGAGGTCGCAGGTATTTGTTGACGTCCTTCCCTTAAGTAATTGCATTTTTTCAAGTTCTTGAAATAATAAAAATGTGCACTTTTTTTATTTTTATTATTGTATTAAAACAATATGGTCACATGGCATTTGAAATATTAGTGTTAGTTACATATGATAAATCTTCTTTTTTTTTTTTTTTTTTTTTTTTTTTTTTTTTTTTTGAAAGATTGTTGTATTTCTTATATTCAGAAGTTTATTAGCAATGGAAATAAGCTGTGATTGCAGAATTGATAGATAGAACCAAATGTGCGACTTTTCTATACCTAAACAACCTTTGCATAGACAACTGCTCTTCAATAAAAATGGAACTCTGAAGTTTTCATATCATGTGATTGGTCATCACAACAAAATTACTTTGATTTTACACATAAGTACTCTGAAGTTGATATTAAAAGGATGCTGGATTTCCGCATTGACAACATTTATGAAGTTTATTGCAACAAATATTTCGAATTTCCATCGGCACTTATTGTGCTCCTTTATTAGCTGACCTGTTTTTATGTTCCTGTGAAGCAGAATTTATTCAAAATCTTCTACATGACAAGAAGAAAACATTGGTTGTGGCCTTCGACTCGACGACATTCAGATATATTGATGGCCTTTTATAAATCAACAATAGTTACTGCCATTTATATGCTGAATCGATATATCTCAGTGAACTCGAAATAAAAGACACCAAAGAGTCCGCCACATTTGTTTCATAATTGGATGTTTTACTGACTATAGACAATAAAGACCAATTAAAAACTAAACTGTATGGCAAAAAGACCAGATTTACGTTGTCAACTTTCCTTATTTTTGCAGTAATATTCTGTTAATCACCTGCAAATGGTAATAATGTCTCCCAACTTATTCGATACTTAAGACCATGCTCTGAGTACGATCAATTTTTAACTACTGATTTTCAAGCTACTGACAGATATGTTGTTATCGGGTTTTCAACAACCGCGTTTAAAGTCAGTGTTTCGTAAATTCTTTTGTCGTTATAATGACCTTGTTAGCAAATATTACCTATTTTTGGGCTGTATTTTGGTTGGTGTTTTTCATGCCAAATTTTAGACCTTTGTTTTTATACTAAATTTGACTATGGAATATTCCATCTACATGATCAATACTTAGGGCTCTATTCGGATGTGACCAGTCGACAGAGGATGCTTGCTCCTCCTAGGCATCTGATCCGCACTCTAGAATTTTCGGGGGTTCGTGTTTTATTCCCCGTTCAGATATTTGTATTGTTTATAGATTTTTTTGAGATCGATCACTGATCGTTATCTTCTACTTTTTCATCATTTTAAATCTCCTAACGCTTTATACAAAAAAGTCATGTTTGATCTTCAAATTCTCCTAACGTTCAGTGATTTTTTTTTTTTTCAGTTTTTATTGTTTATGCCCCAAAAATTAATGTTTGCCTCGAAATTATTGGGCAAACTGTCCTGCAAACACAGAGTCAAACGTGTTACATGTGGAGGAGAATTAATGGTGCATGTGCAAAAATTTGTCATAAGCAATCTATTGGAATTCTGATTAGCACGAACTGAACTTTTTAAGCCGACCTGTTTTTGTATTCTTGTGCAATACAGCAGATTTTATTCAAAAACTTCTGTGTGAGAAGAAGACTCTTGCAGTGGCTTTCAATTAAACATTTTGATATATCAACGACGCACTTTTTATCAATTAACAATAACTATCTTCATTCATTTGTCAACTCAATATATTCCAGTTAAACTCGACATGAAAGACAACAGAATCTGCAGCATCTGCTTCGACTAAAGATGTTAATGGATGACTTACAACTAAAGTATATGACAAACGGGATGACTTCAGCTTTTTCATCGTCATATGCATGTTTCCCTATTTATTTTCAATATTCCACCATGACCTGCATAAGGTTTTTATGTTTCCAAACTGATTTGATAGCATGTCCTGTCCTCAATTTCAAAACGGGACAGAGTGCAAAAAAATAAGTTGATGTAATTGGTTTTTAAAGTCAGCATTTCGCATATTCTACGGTCGTTATATTGACCTCTTTGCGAATACAAAATATCGTTGGGTAGTATTTTGACCGATATATATTTCCTACCAATTGTCAGGTCATTCTTTCATACAAATTTGAACACAGAATACTCCGTTTATCTGATCAATACAGAGAACCAATAGTGGTTGTGAACTGTTCACAGGGGATGCCTACTCCTCCCCCGATCCTAAGTCTGGGATTTCAGGGGGTCTGGGTTTTCTGCCCTGTTTACAATTCTGTTCTTTACTTGCTTTATGAGTTTAATCGCTGTTCTATATTTTCACATTTTTGTCATTTTAGGGGCACAGTGCATCAATCAGTTATCCAGATATAAGGGCTCAACACATGACTTTATTTAGAAAAAGATAGTGTTCATTTGTCAGATTCTTTGAGGAATGTATTGGATCATTTCATTTGTGGTAATTTTGTTTCACCAACTTTTTCTTTAAAAATGACTGGCATTTAGAAGTTTTGTGTATGTGCAAGTTGCAGCTTTGTTTATTCAAATGCAATTTGCATTTCTTAATTTACAATGTCATAGAGCGCGATTTGCGTTTTGTTTTATTATTTAGGTTTTTACTGCAATTTGTACCAATTTTTTGTGTGGATAATTGGTGCTTTTGATTTTTATCTTGGAGTGCAAAATCCCGCTTCAATTTTTAGAGTGTGACGGATGGGTCCTGTGACTCTGTCTCTTACACATTTAGTATAATTTTGCGTGGAATGCTGTCCCAGTTTAGTGTTTTTGCAGGTCAACAATTCACTGTATTTACAGATTCCTTGGTTTAAGACTGTAGATAGAACCACTCCAAAAATATTTAAGATTTACTATTTATTTGTTTGTATTTAGAAACATCTTGTAATTTTGTAATAGGGTCCTCTGATCAACTTTGTATCTGTTGTTATTAGAAATAACTAAATACAGCTTGAGTACACTTTATATATAACATTTACGAAGATTATGCAATATGTTCTTGCAAACATAAAAACATAAATAAACATGAAGTTCGATATTTTTTTTATTTGGCAGTACATGTAATTTTGTGTTTTTAGTGAAAGATATAAAAAAAAATCAATTTTGTGGAGACAAATCACCATTTTGAAGAAAAAAAATCTTATAATTATTTATATTCAGGTAAAATATCTACACTTATTTGTTCATTATCGAAAATCATGAAAAGCTCAGTATATGAATTATTTTCCCCTTCATTGCATTTTACATGAAATATTTCATCAAAGGATATATGAATTTAAAACGCATATATCATAGCCACTGTTTGAGATTTGAAAAGAAAAAAGATATAATAATAAGTGCATCATATTATTTATCATTAGAAATTGGAAATATTTTGTTTTATATGTATCTTTGTTTTTTAAACGATTTTTAAAAATAAAAACACGACAATGAAAAGAAACCATTCCAAAATACACGGTTTAATGAAACAACAAGCAAGTATTGTGTTCTCCTATTCGGTGCAGGTCGTAAGTTTAAATACAGAATTTGTGATTTTAAAAATTCTTATGAATTTATTTGATAAAAATAATAAATAATAAAAATATTGGTTGTAAAAATACTGTGATGTGTCATCAGTTGAGTCAGTTTTCGATTTTATGAAGAATAATACAGTAACCATGCAATAGTTTTTGTTTTATTATTCTCTGTCACAAAGTCAAAAAAATTACAAAATAATCATCCTTGACCACAACCTCCGGCATTCTTTTGAATTACGACACCCTGCAAAACAATTTCGGTGATATCTGCGTAATGATGATGTTTTGGTACCTCTCCGCATTCTCTAGACTCACATTTTACGATTATGGACACCTGAAGTGAAAAAGTGAACAATTTAAAAGAAATGAGTTAAAAGAGATTCATAAAGAAGGTTGCCAATCACTGATTATAAACATGTAAATGAAAAAGTTTTGAAAAATGATTAGCAAAATATTTTGTGTAACGAATATGTGTATTTTGTCATCCTTGCCATTTCCTCTAATCATATACAGCCGTAGTTCTCTTTCAATAGTCTTAATGATTCACTTGATATGTTTAGGGATATTTTTCATTAACTCCTTCAAATTTTCATCAAAAGAAATGCACTAAAGATGTATCTGACTATATTCCTGAGATTCGTCCATCATATGTATGAGAAAATCTACTCACCGAAAAAAACCGCGATGGTTTGTGGTCAAGGAGAATACACTGCTCAGCGGAGACATAGTTTGACTTGAAGTCAGAGCGGCGAAGTTCCTTTACAATTTTTTTACCCCCTGCATAAGGATAGTCCACAACAATCAGGATCTTGTCTGCTCCAGTTGCATGTTTTGGGTTGTGGAACCTGACCCTCAAGTTCAGGATGTAACTGGACTTCCCTTAGAATTTTGTAAGAATCGATATAGCGAATTACAGAAATAAGTAAAAAATGTGTGCATTTCAGTTTAGAACATACTGTTGATCTAACTAAGCAACTCAATGCATAACAGCATTAATAAAAAAAATCGTAACTATTTAAACGTTAACTAATTGCTTGAAATTTAATCAATGAGAAGAATATGAAATTTCAAGTAGAATACTATTTCTTCATTTCCGTCCTTCAGTATAGGCGTTCTTGATCGAAATTTAAACCGAAACGAGGTTTTAAAAACTAAAGATTTCAGCAAAACAATATGTACCCCAAAGAATGTGGCCAGTAGAAAGGACTGCAGTGCCGCCCTTCGTCAGTACTGGTATTAGTTGATTTAAGGAGTTATGAACATACTGGAAATAGTCAAATAGACAAGATTATCATCAACATCACCATCAGAAAATACAAATCCATTCTTTCTCCTTCAAAAAAGTAACATTTATCTTTATCAAACACTTAAGTTTAGAGCGTTAATATTTCATACTCTATCCTAACAATATCTTTTTAAAATAACTCTTTGAAAAGAGTTATATGTTAATAAATATTCAACTGTTATTTTAATATCTCATTTTTGATGATATATATATAAACCTTTGAGCAATTAATTTATGATGAGGTAAACTTAAATGTTAATAATATCTTTGGACTTACGTTTGGTCTAAGTTTCCATATGCCTTGCTTTTTACCAGCATCAAAGGACTTTTGAAAAAGACAAAGATAGGTCTCGCAGGTGTAATCTGAATGTTAGTAAAGTACCAAAAGTAAATATAGACGTATATATTTTTATATATTTATTATAACAATACAAAATGAAACTAAATATACCAAGTCCTTGGTCCTTGTACATATGTAATTATGAAAGTTATACACGAAATTTCCCTCTTTTCTTTTACTTTTAGCACTGTCATAAATTTTGTATACAATCGTAGATTGTTAGGAATGAAATACACAGTATTTAGAAAAACTGCTCCATAATACACCCTAAACGATAAATGTACAATAATAAAATCTTTTCAATGATTTTAAATTCTCTCCATCAAATATTTACACTCAATTATGTGAACGATGAAAGTAATTAATCTAATATTTGCAAATTTTATCAAAGAAAGTACATCTTATTTTGAAACACTATCCGCTTATATATTTTTTTCCAAGTTCTACATTAAAGATCATTCAATATTTATCCGATATTGTAATTTATTTTTTTGATACATACACGAACATTTTTTATGTAAACGTTTTCCTTTAATTATTTAAAGAGTTTGTGTTAGAGAATTTTTAAGCCTTTTTACGATTTTCATAATAATTGTCATGAAAACCTTTATTACAATATCTGAGTGTGAAGTCAAACAAAATTTAGTACAAAGAGATAGCAATCACAGAGGAAACTGAACTCAATGGTGGTGTGAGTCGTAAAACATATTTATCAAAAGTTTTCTTAGGTTTGTTAAAAAAGGTACAAAATTACCTGCTAATTTTATTCCACATGTGAATCCTATAAAATGATCTGCACAATGACAAACTGGATAGTTTTCGTACGCTTTGCAAGTTCCATAGTTTTGACATTTAATCCCGGTGCAAGGTGCTGAAATGAAGAAATATACTTTAAAATTTTCAAATATATGTATCTTTTTATTTTTAGAATTTTGATAACTTCTTATATTAAGTTTAATTAGAAACTGAGTTTCCATTTTTATATTTGATTACTTATGATTTAACTTGGACAAAGAGAAGAATGAGTATGGCATAGGACTAATTAAGAAAACTACATGCATTTTAAAATATATGCCTAATAATAATTAAAAGAAATTTTGCATGTAAATTTAAATTTTGCATTAAAATTTTTAATGAATACAGACTTAAAATACTTACAACACGTATCACGGTTCTAAAAATAGATACAAAAATAAAACAATAAATCAATCATGGGTAAACAAACAGGATTTTTATTTCCATAAAGGTAATGATTATTATTTAATTTTTTCATTGAGCTTAAGTCTTTCTATCCTGTCGGCAAAGCTCAGTATAAACCTACCCTGGCGACCAAGTTCAAACTATCTCCATTTAAAATACTTGCTGAACAAAATCGAACTGCGACTAGTAGCACAAGACCTGCGCTGTAACTTATCATGTTTCGATGATTAAGCTTGAAAAAGAAATAAATTGTAACAGACCATTTGATCGCTATATAAGTAAAACCTGAGAGCACGTCATAAGTTTAATTGATAATATATTATGATTGGATATATCATGTGGGTTTAAAATCAATTACAGAATTATAATTCATGAGATATTTTAAAAGCATATGCATTAGATAAATATGATAAAATATATTGATTTTCTAAGTAATTTTTTATTACTTTGAGGAAATTCAAAATAGACTGTTTTTATATGCACATTTTTATTATTTCAACTTTAATTTATTTGGTTCATATTTTGACTGACATATTTCATACCAATTTTAAAGGTGCTTGGACACAGATTTGAAGTTAATATTTTCTCAAATTTTCTGTATAATTTCATGACTTGTATGTTGCTATTGCATTTCATACTAAAATATAATAAAATGCTTATTTCACCTCGAAGTTATTAAAACTTCGAATTTCTGGACGCGTTGGATTGACACATCCTTGCGCTTTCACATATTTTAATTTTATTCTTAATACTTAAGAAAAGTGGCAATTTTGTTGTGTATTAATGGAAAATATTAAAACTATAACCCAGAAAATTCAGAGTAGAAATGTTCGAAAGCAAAACCCACTCACAGTATTGTAAGTCCGTGCTCAGTGGTGTGTGCAGAGTTTAACAATTGAACACACCCGGTGAATCGTAAACTTTAACAATAATAGAGCTCGTGCCCTGTGTACAAAAACTGTTTACGTTTCACGGGTGTGTTCAATTTATTAAACTGTGTACACATCAGAGCACAGACTGACAATACTGTTGAGCTGGTTTTGCTTTCGAACATTTCTACTCTGAATTTTCTGGATTATAGATGTAATATTTTTCATAAATACATAACAAAATCGCATCTTTTCTTAAATATTAAGGATGAAGTTAAAATTTGTGTAAGTGCAAAGATGTATTAACCAAACGCGTTCCGGAATTCGTAGTTCAAATAATTTTCAGATAAAATAAGTTTTTAATTATATTTTCGTGTGAAATGCTATTGCAATATATAAGTCGTGATATTATACAGAAAATTTGAGAAAAATATTAAGTTCAAATCTGTGTCTAAGCACCTTTAAAGCCTTTGTTTTAATACTAAATTTAATTTGATTACGGAATATTCCGTCTACCTGATAAATGCAAGGGGCTCACGTTAGGTGTGACTGAATGACAAGGGATGCGTACGCCTTCTAGACACCTGATCCCACCTCTGGAATTTCAAGGGGTCCGTATTTAATGCCCTGTTTTATTTTGTTTGTAATTTTTTGAGATCGATCACTGTTCGATATCTTTACCTATTTTATTAGATCGACCTTTACCAAATTCTTAAGTCACCTCCTTTTATTGAAACATATGTCCTCCATTTACTAGTTGTCTTCTGACAACTTTTCATACTTAAGATTTGTTTACACAACGACTTGACCAATTTGAACAAAACTTGACCCAAGCATCTTCATGTTAATGTGTGTCAAATTTGTCGAAATGCAAGGGTACTGTATTTTTTTTTTTTTTTTTTTTTTTTTTTTTTTGGTGTAAGTTTACGTTATTAAGCATGTTCAGGTATGATAATAAAACTCTGTACAAAAGCAACTTGATTACATTATTTCATACCAAAAATATAGGAATGTGGCAGAGTTTTCAAAAGAGGGAGGATACATAAAAAGACATTTTTTTTACATCTTATCTGTGATTTTTTTATTCCGAAAAGTGAACTGCTCCCTTGCACAACAGCTCTGAAACAATATTACATGCATATTATTTTTATCGTACTTTTCGAAACAAAATTTAGCACATGGAAATGTTTAAAACAACATAGGAGCGCAAAATAATGCAATGAATAAGGAAAGATCACCTTTTTCTTCCACTTATACGAGTTAATTGTCTATAATTATGAATTACATGGTAAAGCTCCACTCGGTAAATGAAGCATAACACAAATAAAGATATGCTTTGAAGCAGCTTTTCAGCTTTAACACGATTGTGATAATTAACAAAAGTAATTGTGTACAATAGTAATTTTACACGCAGTAGCAAAATTTCTGATACAATGATGCAGATTAAGAATACATTTGCAAAGTAAAATAAAAAAAATTCCTTCAAAAGGAATTAGCTACCACACTACAAAAAAGCAACTTTTGAAATCAACAACTCCATCTTCATATAATTATTATAACTTTGTTCAAATCACAATACGTACATTTCGTGTGTTATGATTTTTCTATTTTGGTCGATAGATAAATATACACGTGAGAAAAAACGACCTTGCATATTTAATTAACTATGTCGTATTTATTATCTTCGATTCTTAAGAATGTTCTCTTTTATAAAAATTAGTGATGTCTATAGCAGATGATAATGTTCTTGTGTCACTTTGAACATAAACTGTTATTAAGGTCTAATTTATCTGACATGCATTACACACTTTCGGAAATATTTTACTGCACTTATGATAAACAATGAATAGCAAAATATGCTATCAAGAAAATTTTTATTTTAGTGATTATAAAGTATTATTTAATTTTGTATAGATTTTTTATTCCTTTAATATAATCATCAAATTAATCATTTTTATGTTTTTTTGAAAGAAAATATACAATTTGGAGCTTTCAAATTCCCTGAAGTGGTCATGAAATTACCATCATTCGAGCTCATACATTTATAGAATGTTTATATTTTAATTCTGAGACTGCTCTTTTTGATTGTAAGGTTTTATAATTTTCCTCTTCATCAAGTCATTTCATAAATCTACATTAGCGGTTTTCCTCAATCTTTATCTTGGATAAGTGCTTTCTATATAGACTGATATGACAGTTTTAAAATCTTTATCTTAGGTTAAGTGGTTTTATATAAATTGACACAAGGATGTTCAGTTTTTATTCTTGTTTAAATTTGTTCTCTCTCTCTCTCTCTCTCTCTCTCTCTCTCTCTCTCTCTCTCTCTCTCTCTCTCTCTCTCTCTCTCTCTCTCTCTCTCTATATATATATATATATATATATATATATATATATATATATATATATATATCTGTCTGTGTGTGAGGGTGTGTATATCTACAAGCAATACAAATCTGTGAACAGGGCATAAAACATGGACCCCTAGGAATTCAAGTTGGGATCAGGTGCCTGGAAGGAGTAAGCATCCCCTGTCGACTAGTCATACCATTATAACACAAAAGCTGGCAACCCAAATTCAATGAAACCAGCATAAAGAACTATTTTTGAACTCAAATATGTTACTTTTATGATTATCACATATTTTATTCAATTGGATTTTCTTTCATAAAATAAAATACTTACTAAATATTGAAGAAAAACCTCCTATCAAGTTTTTGAACTTGTTGGCACAGTAAGAGTCCAAAGAATGGACAACAGAAACTTCTAAATAAATGAAGTTTGGCATTCGGTTAGATGGACACATGGAGAGGTCAACAGAACGTTCCATACAAACAGGAGCCCACTTTTGTATTAATGAAAAACACAAGTTATTAAAGATCGACAGATAAATATAGGTTCCCTAGCAAGTGCTTGTTAGTAACATGTTTATCTCAAACTCCCGTTCCTCGATCATTTTCTCTAATTTTTAAGAGACACGAGGCTTGCCTCGTGTCTCTAGAAATAATAAAAATTTCGGAACGAGAGTTTGAGAAAACCGGTTTCTAATGAGCACTGATTATGGAACCTTTTTCTCCCATTATACTTGTGTTGTCTTGGTGAATTATACATGGCACTGAAGAAGTTGGCTTTCTCATTAAAATACATTATTCCTCGATGATCTTTAAATATGGAAATATACAAGGAAAAAGTTCAAAGAGTATTTAAAAAAATGTTTTCAAACAACCTGCATATTATGCCATAATAGGCATGTACATGGAGAAGTAGTCCCTAGCAGCTAATCAGAATTGTCTTTGGTGTCATAACGATATGAACACATAAACATAACAACTTTGCTTGAGTGATGAGAGGCGGTTGATAATGGGAGAGTTATGTTTTTTGTGAATAGCTACCAGTATTTGTTCAATGTTCCATTATTTTTTAAGAAAGAAAATCAACACGGAAACCATTCTTTTATTTATTTATTTCATTGGGTTAATCGGAATATAAAAAAATCATCCAAAATATCTAAATAGTTTCTTTTTTAAATGTATGCAACCTCGCTCCTTCATTTGTGTCCTCCACATCAGGGTTGTCCAAGATGGCGTCGTTCAGAGGTAATGAACTGTCTTTACCATTAACTTCAATATTCTTTTCCGAATTTAAGAATATGAAATGTTTCTGTGTGTATTCCTTTAATAATTCTTCTCGCTAAAACGATTTGATCGATTGTATTGAAAATTCATTAGATAAGTATTCCAATCGATATCATTTATATATCTATAGGTATACAGCAAAAATAACTATTATATCTTAGTATACAGAGAGTGGAATATGTTAATACAAGGTGTAAAACCTTACTTAAACACATTTCTCTATAATACTTTACAAAAAACATGTTGCAATTATCATTAAAGTTACAAGTCGTACTTTATTTATTTTTAAATAAGATAAATTTAATTTGCAAATATGCTTTACTCTTTGAAGATAGACAGTCTAAAAATGCTGAAACTATGGTTAAACAATCAAACAAATATGGTAGAAATGAAACTCATTTAGAGAAATACTGAAAATTCATGCTTTGTCAAGGAAAAGTTTACAACGGAAGATGTAACCGAAGCCTTTCATTTCAATATACGTCCTTCTTACCTTGTGAAATGGAAGTCCAAAGTAGAACTTTTGTTTCAGAGACTTTGGTAAAAACGGCATGAAAACGTCAAAAAATGGCAACATGAACCGAACGTCTGGTTTGTCATCGCTAAACTTTTCTTAAATTAAAAGTGAAACAAAATTTTAGATAGCTGTTACTGAGGTAACTGTAACAATTTTGAGTAAATCCTTTGAAGTAATTAGGACATTTTTATGAATTAGTAATTCTGAATCGGTTGACTCTTGGACAAAAAAAAATACTACTTCGTCGCTCGATCCTTTTTTAGATTTAAAATATTATGGTGTATCAATAGGAAACAGTTTCAGAAAAATTACGGCATTGTTGGCATTGAAATTCGCTTCCTAAATGTGTTACTAGTTAATACTTTTAAGTATGAACTAAATACGTACTTAGAACTAGTGCACTTAATGATCCCACAACCAGACAAATCACTATTCCGATCAGCGCGAGCCACATGTAGGAAATGGAGTAGAGCTTTTCTAACCCCTCTCTTTAGAAAGGAAGTGTATGTCAATAATCAAAAAAAGATGTACAGAACATTTCATGTCATTGACAACAGTAGCATATCACTGAATGATAGCCTGACTTTCTTGGTCTTGAAGGCAATACCTTTTGATTTCTCGAGGCCAAACATGAAGTATTTATCTTATTATGTCTAAGCTATTATTTTTAGCAAAATTTAACAAACATAGAGAATATAAAGAAATTTTTCCATCGATTTTTTTTTCAGTGGCATAAGAAATGCATATTGTTTAAATCAATTAATTTTAAGACTTATATGTTTCTTGTAAAATTTGCATCCTCATGTTCATAATCTTATAAATGAAAAGACACACATACGGTGTATATTCATGGAACACACTAGATACACTTGATACATCTGATGGAAAGGTATCGGCCGTGGTTGTATAATTGCCAAATGCGACTGTGTCCATCGGGACTGGTTCGCTTCCAGGAGTCTGAACACAGTTATCATTAGATGGCATTTCCAACCATGGTTGACGTGGAAGCGTTTTTGAGAAATTCTTCGCCATAGAAATCCAGAATGTGACTAGAGTGCTCACTAGTCCTCCACATATTGTTGTCTGACAGAAATTATTGAAAACAAAAATTTAATACATTTATCTAAAACGTTGGATACAATATAATGTAATTTAACATTACTGTTTTATTTAATGACAATACCCCCTACTTTCTACATGCAGTTTTCATGGATAGCCTCCCATTTATTTTATATACTTCCTGTTTGCTGATGTTCAAAATTACTGCTATCGAAAATAGAAAGGCTTCTTTAAGCTATATATTAGTAAGGAAGTGTTAAATCTAGTGATGTTTCTAAAATAAAGAGAATTTCACTGTCTATACTTTGCATTGTCTGGTACAAAATATCAAAAAAGCAGAGGGATTCATTTAACGAAAAGAGTGTGTATGCCTAGTAAACTAACATTCACATATCAAAGGAGGCTTGGATATTTGCTCAGTAAAAAAAAAACAAGTCAGTGTAGAAAAATAGGGGGTTCATTCTTAGCCTTACCAGCTCTCTCCCTCTGCCGAATTCCTTTCCATTTTTCAATATTTTGTCCCATGTAAATCAATAGTAGGCAGTGGAATACTCAATGTTTCAGACGTATCGTTAGTTTTGCAATTCTTTAAAAATAAATATTTAAATTTAATGTTTTCTTTTTCAATAGTTCTCATTTTGAACATTAGCAATCGACCGAAAGTAACAAAGAAAACGGTAAGTTATTCACGAAAACTGCATATAAAATAAGAAAGTAGCAAGTATTGTCATTTGATGAAAAACTGGTTTCCATACCATAGATATTTATTTTTAAAATATTTCAAAAAAATATTTCATGAAAAAATTCTCGAAACTTCTGGGAACACTATATATAAATATCCTTTTTGAATATGTTGTACAGATTTTTTTCCTAAAGTATCAAACCTTTGAGGTAGCCCAAGGGACAAACACGGCAAACAGAAACATTCCAGACAAAGTACCAGTAAAACAACCAAGAATTGTGCTGGAAATCTGATGAAGATGAAAAGTGAAATTTGCATTCATTTTTTTCTTAAAATGATAAAGTGTATTTTGCTTTATTAAATTATAGGATCATACTTGCGACATAGGTCCTTTGATTCCAGCGATCATAAATGAGACAGCAATCGATAATGCCCCAGATACAAGAACTGTGTAATATTCAAAATCATTCATTATAAATCTGTATAGTCTGTATAAATCTAAAATGATCCAGTTATAAAACTCAAAAAAAATATCCAAAATAAAACAGTTACAAGAACTGTAAATAATAACCAAACTTATTCAGATACTGAAGCTGTAAATAATATCCAAAAATATCAAGTTGCAAGAACTGTAAAGAATACCAAAAGTGGTCCAGCTAAAGTGTAAAAAAAATATCGATAATGGTTAGGTCCTAAGAACTGTAAAGGATACGATAATGATCTAGTAATAATAACTGTTTAGCATATAGATAATCGTCTAGTTACAAGAATTGTTGGACACAATAATCTAGTAATAAGAGCTACTAGCGTTAGGAATCATGTTTAGATTATAAGCTTCTTATACTCATCTGTCTCAAAACTTTTTAAGCATATTTTCAGCAATTGAAATATACTTAATAAGTATGTACTTGTAAGAAAATTTAATCATAAAATGCACTAAATAATCATTTTAAGTTTTCATTCATAATAAATAAATAAATAAATAAATAAAATCTATGACTTGAAACTTTCTTTTTATTTTTGTTTTTACGGAAAGAACATAACAAGGCCAATGGACCATAGCCCTCACCTAAATCACCATTGTTCTGCTTTTCGTCAGAAGTACATTTTGAAAAGATTTTTTTTCCTGTAGTTTTACATAATGTAATTTTGAACCCCGCCTTAAGTTCCATCCAAATCCAAGGGTCCATAATTTTAACAAATTTCGAATCCAAATTACTAGGGAATGATTGCATTTAAATATATTGAGTGTGGCCCTGATACTCTTGAAAAGATTCTTTTAAGATTCTATATATCCTCAAGTAAAACTCATCCCTCGTTTTGGCCTCATTTTACTCCCCAAGTCCAATCTCGCTACGAAATGGGATTTTTTTTTTTACATAATAATAAATGTTTCAAATCTGAATTAATTCTTTAAAATATGATTGCCAAGTATCTCTCCAGGTTCATCCAAAGGTTCATCCAAAAAGGGGGATGAAACTTCCTAACTCAGACTAACAACAAAACTTACATCACAAATATTTCAGTTGTAATTAAGGATTATAATATCTTTCATTTTAAATTAAAGAAACAAAAAGAGAAACTGATACATTCAAGAAAGAACAAGTTTAACAATAAAACCTGACAGTTTTGATACAAAAGTTAGGCGTTGATCCGAAATCGAGGGAAATATCTGTTTCACAATGTCTTCCGCTGCCATTGCCGATAGGCTACTCAAACCAGATGACAAAGTACTAAAACGGAAAAAAAATTTAACGGTTAGGTTTACATCTAACACTGTTTTTATTATAAAATTCTAACACAACTGTTCGGTAAATTGCATTTTTTGGCTATTGCACTGATGTTTGAAGGAGTTAGAAACGAGAGTGAAAGCTTCTGATTGTGACATGACAATAATAAAACGACGCAAAAGAAAAACTGCGCTGACGTGACGTATTTCATAAAACAAACCCCACATAATAAGATGTAAACATCAAATAACATGCATACATTGCATTATAATGGGAATAACTATCTTCTCATCATCATATTCTCATTTGTTATTCGTTAATGCTGATTTCCTCTGACGCGTCACCTGTAAAACTCAGTTTACGACCATTAAATCAGCATTAACGGTCGCAAATAACAATTAAATGAGAGTTATTCCCCAATCGAGGTGCTTGGAAAATAAAACCTGTGTCTGTGATTAAAATGCAAGTCAGAAATATGTTTATACGCCCCACCTAATAGGACCAAGTAGAAAAGCACAGTGTATATAGTGCCTTTCTTGAATCATGGCGCAGCAATATTAAACGATATGCTGTCAAGTTGTCACACTTACAAAAGTTAAGTTGTGATTAATGTATTTTTTAGAGAAAGGAGGTGAGAATGGGATTCTTTCATCGGCTAAACCCAGTAATACTTGAGGAGAAGTTACAAAAATGGACTTTTTCTGTTTGTCTTGCTCTTATTTCCTGTGTTGTAAGCTAGGGGACAAAACCAATCTCATCGGAGAAGTGCGTTTTGTGTTAGACTAAAATAGCCTGGTTCCTTGACTCATCCTTGCAAAGTGCCGTGGAGTACACGAAGCATAACAGAGCCAGGGAACCAGACTTAGACTAAAATGAATGCGTAGAGTTAGCTTAGTTTGGCGCGTTGGCCATAGTGCTAATGCACTTTGTTTCATATTACAACGTCATTTTTAGTGATTGCCAAATGGTGAGCTTTTTCATTAAAGTGTGATTTATTTTTTTTATTTTTTTTGAAAAATGAGCTGCTTCTGTATTGCACATAACTCCAGTTGATATGTTTGTGATGTAGGTTCATTAATTTAATGAAATCACTAATTACTGTAGACAAGTTCATTTATACATAATTATAACATGGTCATTCAAAAAATAATTATAAAAACTGCATTTTAAATTGCTTGACATCAGTTCACCTTTTTTTCTATAATTTTTATCAAAGTTCAGAACAATTAATTTGCTATACTTTACCTTAAAGAGGCGCTGAACAAAGATGCCATAAAGAGCCCGGGCATTCCAGGCAGATGCTCAAAAATTTCCAGCACCAGGTATGGGATTATCTTTCAAAGTTTTCATACAAATAAATAACCAAAAAATTATTTATCAAGTATTGTTAACTAAAATCAAAAGAAATTTTCTTCAATAAATGCTTGGGGGAGAGATTCTCAAATAAATCATAACTGAGAATTTTTTTAAAAAGCATTTCAGACTTAAACATCTAGATTCCGATATTTCAGGTACGTAATTATATTTAAATGAAAAAATGAAATTAATTATGAAATCCAAATACAGTATGAAAATTTCAATCGAATTTTGACGCCATAATAGTGATAGAGAGATGAGAATCTGCACACTGTTAATGAAGTTATCAACTACAAAAGAGCAATATTGAATAATAACTGTATTGACCGGTACTGAGTTTATTACTGTAGTCTTTCTGTTGTCCTGGTCCAGTTATTAGCTCCATATGTCTTAGAATACAATAGATTTATCAGCCAACAATGACTGCACAAATGTTATACATTATTAGACAAACTTTCAAAGAAGCATACCTGATTTGGATTCTTAATCCGACCGGAAGTTAGTGGATCACATCGTTTCTTGTAATAATACGCATAAGCAACTAGTCCTTCGAATAAGGGCAGGGATAAAGTAATGCAGAACAATGGACCGGTGATCAAAAATATCCTAGAAATAGTTTCATCTTAATTTACATGTATTGTGCCTATCATGAAGATAAGTCTGGAAAAGAGCTAGCGATGATAATTTCTTGAAACATATACTATAAATTTTATGATGTGCGTGTATTGGAGCATTTTTGTTCAAACAGATTTCATTTTTATTATTTATACTAATGGGAAAAAGTTACATATTTAAATAATAAGATACCTTAGATACCAGGCATGCATACTAGTATTCATTTATTATTTTAAATACATGTAACAAATACTTTAATCTCGTACACTGTACAAGATCATTTTGTTTTGCAAACATTTTTCTTTGATAACAACTGCTCATTAGAAACTCATAATTCATATATAATTTCAAAACTTAGCAATTCAATGTAAGAAAAAAAAAGAATGGAGATGTCTTCAAAAGATTCACAGTCAATAATGGGCATGACCGCATGTAGCATCGACGCATGGTTGATATTTAAAAAGACAGTGATGTCCTAAATCAAGAAAAATTTCCTGACCCAGTTCAGCAACATCATCGGTGGAGTTGTGCTTTAAATTTTTTCTAATATTTTTAAGGATTAAAGATCATAGGAAGCAGCAGACAAATGCATTACATTCATGTTCTGCTGTCTAAGAAACTTACTAAAGAAGAATGCCTTCATACATGCTCTGTTGTTTAACAAACTCACTAATATAAAGATGAAGACGTTCATACCATGTCTTTCGTGTCTTGTTTATACCTTTAAGTAAGATTTCGATAAAGTGCGTGATATGTTGTTGAACAATTATGAACCCTTTACTGAATTATTGTTGATAGATTTCCGTTGATGACCACCATGGGTGTTCCTCCACTAATAGTTATGCTTCTCAAACCATCACTCTACGCCAACAAAAGGCATTGTGAAAGATAAACGATTGTGAAGCTTTTGTTACTTTCCTACACTGCCCTCCAAAAACAGTTAAACTTATTGTCTCAAGTTCCACATTTTTCCAGTTGTTGAACTTGAATACTAGAAAAGAATTACGTAGATGAACTACCCTAATCATATTGCCTGCCGGAGAGTTGCCACTCACGGTAATCCTGAAAGAGGACGGTATTGCATGGTTCCATATTAAGGACAGTTCGGTGAGAAGAATTGTATAGTGTTCTATTGCAATCAAAGGTGTTCTGAAAGTCTTGTTTTTGCCATTTCAGCCTCAGGCATGCTGAAGACGCAAAGCCGAGAAGTTCAAAAAGGATCGTGGATTAATATAAAAAAAATGCAGTTACTTCTCAGAGTTTTAAAATTTTAATTAAAATGTTTGCTCTGTTTCTAATCAGTAGTATGCATGGCAGTATTTCATTTGAAATTTAGGGCAAAAAAAATGACCAAAGCATAACATTTCTCGAATCTCCTCTCTCACTTTAGGCATTTTTTGCAGAGGACAAGGACTTGTTTTTACGAAATGCTAAAGATATGTAAAGTTTCTGATTCTGAAAGGTTAATGAAATCTTGGGCGTGCTGAAGTTGTGGTATTATGTATTTTATTGGAGAGGGAGTGGGTATTCCCAACACTTGTTTTCAAGCACTTGCTCGAATTTGAAAGAAACAAACTCGCGTTTCTTGCCAGATGCCTATGTGTTTTCGGTATATACTAAAATGTATTACATGAAGAAGAAGTGTTCTACAAGATCTGAAAAAGGAAAACCCAAAAGTTTGTGTTTTAACATAATAACATACTCAAAGTTGTGCATTTAAGTTAGAATATGCATACATATATAGAAAATATTGTAATGCTGCCTGCAAAGAATACGGCAAAGGACAAAGTTGTCGCCAAAATGTCAGATTTATCTTGAACATTCGACTGATATTATTCGATGTTATAAAAATCAATACATTGAATTCTGCTATTAAAGTTCGATGCCCGACTTGTACTAGGGTTCTCCCAGAAAATGCAAACTTTTAAAAAATATTTCACAAACTACCCGACCAAAATTAATTATTTAAAAAATGTTAGGAAATGATAGTTTTGTTATTGTGACATAATATAATGAGGTCGTAATGAGGTAATGATACTATAATATGACTTTAGAAATTGCATTTATAGGGTGTTAAAAATCGGTGGTCGTCGCACCGCATTTTTTTCACTTTTAGAAACAGCAATGTCATCGACGTTTTGTTTGTACAGATTGTTCTAAAATTTAATGACAAAATTAAGATCGCAAAAAATATAATCTGAATTATCAATTTGTGAAAATTCATTAATGTTACATCATAAATGGAAATTATATTATGTTAAATGTAAAAACACTTTCCGTTAGATATTGTCAAAAAAAAAATGGCGACGTAAGGCAATAAGGCTCATTCCGCTATTGAACGCAATATGACTCCTCTACATAAAGGAAAAGAGATGGGAACGAGTTAACGACACAGATAGTTGGTTTATACCTGATACAAGAGGTTCAGGGATGAATAGATTAGTTATCCTATGGCAGAGGCGCTTGATAGACCAAAAAAGACGAAAAACTGAAGCTTGCCGTTATACGCGAAGATCGCCGTTCAATTACTCGAGAAGTTCATGACGGAGTTGGAAAGGACAAGGTATGGTAAAGGCCGAATCTGGCCCCTTATTTGATGTAAAAATCAGTTAAAACTGTGATAGGTTGTTGTTAAGAACTTAAAATGATGCTTGTTTTAAAACCAGCACTAATTTTCATTCAAAGCTTACAAGGAGGCCACAAGAGGGTGCAGAAGTAAGACATTTTCCCGAATTTCCTCAATTCTGGTGGAATTTCGTCAAGTTTAAGATACTTTTCACTTCGGGAAACATAGAACACAAGCTTGCCTATCTGAGATTTTTATACACAAGATGCATCTGATACTAGTGTATGAAATATTCAAATTTGGTAGATAGGCAAGCTTGTGTTCTATGTTTTCTAAAATATAATGTGCTGTAAAATCGATGAAAATTTGACTAAAATGAGAAAATTCGGAAATTGACATATTTTCTTACCTTCCTGTGACCTCTCTGTATCCCATAACTTAGAACCAATACTCATTTTGTGGTAGGGGTGACAACAGGTTTTCATAGATAAACTGTTGCATCATTCTAAAAGATACCCCAAACCATGGGCCAAAAGGGGGTCTTAGCCTATCTTGTCATTGTCTATTCAAAGAATTCATTTTGCGATCTTTTTATAGTATGTCTGAGATGGATAACTTACTTACCCTCTGAAAATCAAATGTACTAAATTACTGCTTCAATAAAAATCTTTAAAATGAGGTACATTTCCTTAACAAAGTCACAAACGCCACGAACTTCGTTTTGACGTCTTCAGTGTTGCATCGACAAATATGTTGTAATATTTGTTTAACTAAGAGGAAAATGTTATTTATAAATATATTTCTTTAAAATTTCTATGTAGAATTCGAAAAATGTCGATAATATACCTGTCAATTTTTAACTTAAAAACATTAATGACACAAAAATTAGTGAAAATATTCGAGATTTTCTGAGACAACCTTCGTATAACAGCTCATTTTACCTTTAGAAAAACTTAAGTGGACAGTCGCTTTTGACCAAGAGTATTGATAATAATCACATTATTTTTTTTCTGAAAATATTCAAGTTAAATTGGATACAACCCCTTCAGTGGACATCAGTCTGTGCGAAGTAATACAGTACTTTATTACATCTACTTAACAATTAAACTTACTTCCTGGCCATGCTCATTTTCGGTGTAGACGATATCCGCTGTATGGAGGACTGGTTGAAGGCAATACTGAGAATTTTAACTGTATTCCCGACAAACAGCGTCCAAAAAGTATGACGAACAAAAGGGTCAGGGTTGAAGCTGAAATTCAACATCTGACTTATTGAAGATAAGAATTTATAGTATTCATTTTTAATGGCATCATAACCATCAATTTATTCGGAATTCTATCCAAATTGTATAATGAAGCCTGATCAGTATTCGAATCAAAGGCCTGATATTCCAATGTCACACTCACTCTAATATATCCAGTCTTTTTGTAGCTTTGTTGATGTTAAATACATTTCCAACACCACCAGCAGAAATGGTTCCCTAAAACATACATTTTACAGGTTTATAAAATCCCAGAAAAACGAAGATTTTATTTCGTGACATATCCTGGAAAATAATTAATGACGAGACAGAAAAATACTTTAGTTGCTATGATGGTACATTTTGTCGTTTTGTACAAATTGTCGTTGACGACAATATGCACCTATCCTCCCTGCACATATTGTCGTTTATCGGAACATATTGCCGTCGGTTGCAAAACAAAATACGCAAACATTGTCGCTTGCATATTGTACATTACATATCGGCAAATATTGTCGTAGGAGACAATATGTGCTGCAAACATCTGTACATTTGTCACCAAAATTACTGTTTTGAAGAATGTGTAAATGGGGTCAGAGAGAGAGAGAGAGAGAGAGAGATTCTCAATATATTTTTATGAATTTATATTTTAATCATATGTTATATACAGTGCACCTTGTCTTTTGAATAAAGCATTTTATGGTAGCTGTTTCGTTAGCGTTAAAAATTACAACATTGTGTAAAATTAATTGGATATAAGAAAAGTCATGATCTCAAAACAGATGTTCAATATCTACTTGAATCTACTTGAATACTTGAATTAAAATGGCGAATATCCCTGTCATCATCACCACTGTTTGGAAGACATCGGTCCAAATTACTGCTTTTATTCCGCCCTAAAATAGAGAGTCTTATTCTGGTAGTACACTGCAACAGTAAGGTTTGTAAGGACTGTTTTAGTGCAAAATTTAATTAATTAAGGTCTGACGACACGTTCCTCGAATATCTGTTCCATATCTCTCAATAATACATTGTGTAAGAAAAAAATATTCATAATTATCATTATCTTGTGATTTTTAAACTGCTTTTTTAAATGTCTTAAAAAAAAATACACAAAAATTGTGATATTGACAATTCAAGAGATTTCCATTATATAAAATTATACAGAAAACTCCATTATATGGTATCTTGCACATATGCCTGGTAAGGTTCCTCAAATTTTTTGTGAGGAAACTTCTTAAAGTAGCAATACTTCAATGATAAATTCTTAGAAATAAAAATATATTTTTGAGGGACGTATCGTGTAACCTTAAGTTTACAAAAATACGGCTCATTTTAGGATTTTTTAAAAGTTTTGCCTGAGTTATTGGTGTGTAAAACACCCAAACTTTTTACGTAGGCATATATTATGAAGTGCGCTAGCGCTTCCTGAAATACAGTGCACTTCATGTCTGGGTGATTTATACACCAATAATTCACACTTAACTTAAAAATAAAGCATTCCTTATGTTTACATTTATAAATTTAAAAACACCAAAATATAATCAGAGTTTGAATATCTCGCTCCACTATAATTATATCGTTTTACTTTTATGAACGTCTCATCTGTAGCCTCATCATGACGTCACATTAGTTTCTCCATGTATATTTCTATGAGTGAGTATACACGAAAATGGCATTCAAATCAATTTCATGTTGGTGAAGTATAAAAACACAGCAATTGTAAATGGTTATAAATATGTTTGAAATAAAATGACAGGTAAAGAAAAAAAATTCTTATCATGTAAGTATTCAGCTTAAAATACTTCTTTACCAATTGCTACCTTTAAATGGCGTTATAATTGAAACTATGCTTATTCTTGTAAAGGTCTTTACCAACTGATACCTATAAAGATTTAAGGAAACTCACGATGGACGTATATAACATGGCTCCTAGGGCAACAGCCAAAACGGAGGCCCAGTAAGGAAAATCTGTGACTTTTAAAAGGAAGAAGATACAGAAGGCAAGTATAAATTAAAATCACTTTTTTACATACATTTAATTATCTTTCCAACGAAAAGAAATCTTCTTTTAGATCATCAAGAAGATATACTTTCTTCATTACAAACTGGATACATATACAAAACAACTGAATTTCCTATTCATTGTTTCAATAAAATAATAAGATTCATAAGCATGGTTTGAATCGAGGTCATTTATTAATCGAATCGGTTTATAAATACCTGATTCCAATGCAATAGCAGGACCAAACAGCACAATGCCCATATAAAATATCTATAAAGGTTCGTCAAAAATAAGTTTTTATTGTCAATTTCTAATTCAATTGTCAATTTCAATTTCAATTAAGGTAGCTTATTTGTAATATATAGTTTAATATAATTAATTATCAGATGCAACTCCTTATTTCTATTGTTCCTGCTGAAAACATTAAAACAAAGATATATTTACATCGGGAACAAAGATTAATTTGCGAAAGAATTTGCTGTAGCATGTATAACGTAATATCTAAAGGTGGAAAAAGATACAACAAATATTCAATATCATTAAATAGATTATGAGTCAATACTTACGTAATACATTGCTCCTATTATCATAGCAAATACTCGAACCCATTTGGACTGAAACCGCAATTCCATGTACTGATAGAAAAATCAAATATAAGAACACACTTCGAAAATGTATGGATCATTGGAGTGACAAAATTCATTTTGCATATTTTTGATGATAAGACATAGAAAAGATATTTGGCTATAAAGATTATTTTCTAGAATTAAAAGTATCAATTATGTTCGAGTGGTATGTAGAGAAACATACATAACACGAACACATAGGTAAAAAGAAACACGCAGGACGACCACCTTCTGTGTTGTGTTCCATTTATCCATACCTCTACTTTGCTTTCAAATATGGACAGGGCTTAAAGTATGAAGTTGCAAAACTGTAATTTAATTATCACAATTTCTCTTTTCGTCCAAGAGTATTGAGAATCACGATAGGTTTGGTCAACAAGAAAAAATTAACTCATATGTCAAGTATTTTATACTATTGCATTACTTCAGTACTTCCGTGACTTACCAAGTGAATGCAAAATGCATGAAAAAAGTATTTACTTTTAAGGTTTCTAACCAAGATTCCCGTATATGAACAAAAACTATGAGTGGTAGATTCCCGCATATGAACAAAAACTATGAGTGGTAAAAAACGAAATACTGAGTAAATGTATCAATAATTTCATTGCCTGTTTCAGATGTGCTTTTGAAAACGTTGAGTATGTAAGTGTCCTCTAAAACGTTAGAAAACGATTCATATGCCTTTCAATTTTTTTTCTACTGCAAAAAAATACATTTGCTTTCGTTTATTAAAGATTTTATTTAAGAATTTTTTTTTCTGTCTCTCAGATACCTACCTCATAAACGCTAGTAAGCTTTAAAGGATAAATCAAAGGCACAACAATGAAAAGACCCAGCAACAGACCAGTCATAACTCCAACATTGTACCAGATGTATTGAAGACCGTAAACATAAGCTTCCGCCGGAAATCCAAGCATCATGATGGAGGACTCGAAAGACACCATCAAGGAAAGTGCTAAGGGCAGTATCTTCATCTGACGGTTGCCAACCAAGTACTCCGAGGTAGTACTTTGTCTTCCACCAGAAAATGCATAGAAGATACCTATTCCTAGGGAAATTAACACTGTCGCCCCAAAGACACAGTAATCCGCTAAAACAAAACCTGGGTGACTGTACATTTCCTTTTAATATGTCCTCTTACAATTAAATAATGTAATCTTTCCCTTTCCTACAAATACTTATCTTCAGATCTTTTGATACTGTTGATGTTATGAATGTCCATCACGTATTAAATTTTACTTACTTTCGAAGTTCGTGACTTGAATAAATTTTCATCAATTTGCATTAATTCATTTAGATTTATTCTACTATAAGTTTAGTGTAATATAATATAAGCGAAAAATGGGAATATTAGAATAAAATAGGTTGCTTTTTTGACTTCTTACTAAACTTTTTGAACTTACACTGATCAATAGCGATAATCTATATAATTTGCTTATATCTGAAGGGAAAAACTTTTATAATAATATTGAGAGGTTTTTATTTTCTTTATATTATCTTAAAACAAGCTTAATTAGAGTCAGAGAAAATCAATAGGCATATCTTTCAGTAATATTGACTAAAGGTATAAAAATTTCAGTGCAAAACCTCAAAAAAAGAAAGATATATTGTTTGACCTTAACCTTGTGACCTAAAAATCGAAAGGGGTCTTCTGAAAGTCATTGAGCGTTATGATATAATTCAATAATTCTCCATTTGCATTGTATTTTTTTTTATTTGTATTGTATAATTTTTTTATTTGTATTGTATACTTTTTTTTATTTGTAGTCAATAATTCTCCATTTGTATTGTATAATTTTTTATTTGTATTCTATAATTTTCCATTTTTATTCTATAATTTTCCATTTGTATTCTATAATTTTTCATTTGTATTGTATATTTTGAAACGAGAGATTGTGCCAAAAACGAAATGGCTATGGATAAAGCATACTCGTGGATAAAGCAAATATCTAATGGGTAGTATCCACCACTTTGAGTGTATGAACGACACATGAAATGTTAAAAGTACCTCATATAATAATAAATGTACAATTTATAATAACATTATGTATCATTTAATGAAGGAAGTACTGTAAATAGAGGAAGCTGCCCTCGATATAATGTAAGAAAGACTTCATCTAATTAAAGTAGCGCCACATATAATGATACACAATGTGTATAATGTTTGATCCCCATATAAGACAGTGCCTGTCTTAAATACAAATCATAACCTTGGTGCTCTGTATTAAAATATTTCTACAATTTTCTTACTTGCATTGGAGGGCGAAGATTATCATTGGAGCATCTTTGATGAACATATATGGTAAAACAAAATTAATCCAGGATATTTTTTAAAATAAAAAAAAAACACGATGTAATTAAGCTCATTTAATGCAGATATTGTAAGGGTGTCCCAGTTACAAAATCGAAAGAAAATATAAAACTAATGTAATTAAAGTACACATAAGATGATTGTATTTGTGAAAAATCGTATATATTTCATTTTAATTTAATCTACAAAAGCAAGAGCATTTGTCTTTTATTGTATCACAGCAAAATGATGGCCGCTATAGCTCTTATCAAGGGCACAAGCTGGACATGTTTTCCAAGGGACAGTCAGTAAAGCTGAAAAGCATTACTGCAAACATTTTTTTTTATGATTACTTGATTGCTAAACATTAATAATTCGATCGTTCAAAATTTCTACATGACGATAGTTTAGCTTGACATCTAATGGATCACATAAAGATGACGTTTTGTTTCAATTTAGAATTGAATGTAATATTTAAGAGCATCTTGCATTATAGAACGAAGAGTTAATAGGTATCGTTTAGGTTATTTACAAAGTTCTTCCAATTTGCAATGGACTTTTCTTCCGGTCGATCTGATGTTGCGCAGGATTTCCTGAAATAAAGTTGGTCGAAACAGCTATTTTTTTTTTTACTTTTACAAAACATAAAACATATTTATCTGCATAAATCAGCCTTAAACTTTGGAAAATATATGTTTTTCTTTCTTTTTTTCCTTTTTCAGTATTCCTAATTCTTTCAAAGGAAAGCAGGAAAAATGTGACTAATTTCATGTATACGAAAATATTTTTTATTATGAAAAATATAAATATTTCCATTTTTTGTCTTTTCTTGTCAAATGGTTCTCTGAAGGCAAGTTTATTCCTTTGAAATATCTTTACTTTAGAAAAATACTCTGTATCACGTTGGCTTAATTAGTTCTGAAACAAAAGGAGAAGTCATTTGCTGTGGCCCTCAATTCGACATTACATGGACGTTGTTTAATCAGTTACCTTTATTTATTTTCATTCCTACATTGTTTTCGATATATTCCTCTGAACTAGAAAGAAAAGACACCATAGAGTATGACATTTCTGTATCATATTTGGATAATTCATTGAACAAACACATTAATGGCAAATTAGGATTTTTGTCCAACGAGTTGTGTGTTTTCTATTCCGGAGCTTGGCGATGGGATAGAAAACACACAACGAGTTGGATAGAAATTATTTCCAACCACAAACCAATGGGGGGTTCTTTTCATCACGTTTTACATAAAGCCATCAAATTTTTACAGGGTTTTAATATGCGTTTTTATATGTGAGTCAACTTCATTTGACTTCACTTTTATGCAGAAACCATTGTGACGTCACAACTGTTGATATGAAAATGCATGAGCTATATCCACTGCAAAAAGGGGTAAACATGTGATAAATAGCAATATACTATTGTCAAACAACATGTTGAATTTATGTCTTCCAGTTGATAAGATACGTAATAGCATGTTCTACAATTCGAAATACACGTATTTCTAAAACAAGGCGAGCTATTAACAAATAAATTGATGATAAAAGGATATAAATAATCTCAATAAAAGTCAACATTTTGCAAATTCCATGGTCGATTCAATGATCTTGTTAGTAAATACAATCTATTTAAGTTGAATATTGACGGAAGTTTTTCATATGGTTAGGCCATTATCTTAATACTGAATTGTCTAGGGCTTTTTCCGTTTAACCGATCATGACAAGGAACACACATGGGTGTGACCTGTCCACAGGGGGTACTTACTCCTCCATGGTACCTGTTCCCACCTCTGTTTTCACAGGTCTATATTGGTTCTGCCCAGCTCTTGTGTTCTTTAAATGAAACTTTGTGCATAATTACTGTTCTTTATCTTCACATTTCATACTGAAACTTTGAAGAGTCAGTAGATGAATGGCAGGCTAAAACTTGGATACAGCACACAATTCCATAAAAAAAAATTGGTTAGAATAAACTTTCAGTATCAAAGGGCAAAGTTATACCTAGACAAAGCAAGGTCTAAGTTGAAAGCAAAAATATTATGAAAATCTTCAGTTTTTTACTCACCCTGATATCATTTGAGTTAGCTTCCCTTATTAGAGTTCTTCTGTCAGAGAAAGAAGAAAGATAAATTAATATGGGCATTTAAATTAACATATCGAAGTTCAACATTGGATGAATGATTTGTCATTTTTTAAGTTTTACAAATTAGAGGGGAAACAAAAACAAAGAAAATACGTGCAAATAATTCAGCGGCGGAATAAGGTAACGTAGGACCAAAATCTCCCTTTAAGATATTCAGAGTTATTAAAACAAGATGCCCAAGGGCCTTAACGGTCATCTGAGTATTATAAAACATTGTAAAGGATTCATATAAGTATAGTCTAGGACTCAGTAGCAAATCTTAAAGCAGATCTATTCACATGCTTGTATTAGCCCCCATTTGTCACTACCTTCACCATTATAACTATATAAACAAAATAATAGTGCTTAAACCATTCTCATTCCCTTTCACATTGACTTCTCTTGTTCTTTGAAGAACATTCAATGTACAAAATTAAGGTATTTTTGCCTCTTTATTTATCTATTAAAGACTATTAAATCAAACATTAAAAACTATGAACTTGCTTTTTTTTGTATCATATATTATAGAAATTCTTGTAAAGTTCACTTATTCAATTAACTTTTAAATCCCATATTTGCAGAGATTAATTATAATACATGTATGTGAAAAGCAAGGGGGAATAACTTCTCCAAGTATACTACAAATTAATGAAAGCATACCCAACACCAGAGCACTTGACATAGTGGTCCAGAATTTCAAAAATCTGTTAAAAATACACTTGCTCGTCACAACTTTGTACTCTGCCTCCTAAATGCCCGGGAGGAGAGAAGAAGATTTTCAAAGAAAATGCATTTTTACAATAAAATCAAAATGCCCCGCGCTAAAACCAGAACACCTTACCCATAGGTCATAAAATTAACAATTTTAGAAGTGGCACTTTTGCTCATCATAAATATGGATTTAGTTTGTTTGCTTAATATCCAGGAGCAGATATTTTCAAAGCATTAATGTATTTTCATTTTATAATCAATAGAGCCCTGTCCTTGCACCAAAGGCCCTAAACTCAGTGCCCTTGAAATTCACAATTTTGAAGGATGCACCCTTGATCATCATAGTCATGCACGAAGCTGAAAATGTTCAAAAGTATACTACTGACGAACGACGGATGATGGACGACGACAAACAAGCCATAGCAATATATCATGCGTGAGAAACAGGTAACCAAATAAAGTGGTAAAGAAACTAAAAATTGCTTTTGTATGACCATTCCCAAGGGAACACAAATCTTAGTGACTTTATACAGTATATATATATATAGAGAGAGAGAGAGAGAGAGAGAGAGAGAGAGAGAGAGAGATTAAATTTTGCATAACTACAAACTACAAACGTCATTGTACGTTTCATTATTGATGGAAGCGTCACTACTCAGTAAATCTGTAAAGGTGATAAGCTAGGCGGTGTTTACTGACTAATGAACAACAATGGTTTTCTTAAGAAATAAAGAAAATATTCAGTGGATGTAAATATTACATAATGTAGATTCAAATTTGTTGACATCATGACCTCCAGGCTAGGGCGAAGCCTACGTAAGAATATATAGGAAGGCTCTTTAAAATTCTTCTCAAGAACAGCAAAGCCATGACTAATCATATTAATACAGCAGCATCCTTAGGTATTCAAATCATGACCGCTGGGGTAGGTAGGGGTCCCCAACAGGGGATCAAAGTTATAAATTGGAATATATAGGAAATATTTTCAAAATCTTCTCAAGAACAGCAAAGCCATGATTAGTCATATGTATATGGAAGCATCCTCGGGTTGTTTAGGTTCAAGTAATTTCAAATCATGGCCCCTGGGGTAGGTTGGGATCACAGTAGGAGATATCTTTTACATAGGAATATATTGGGAAAAAAGCCTTTAAGAATTTTTTTCAAGAACAGCAAAGTCGTGATTAGTCATATTTATATGGGAGCATCCTCAGGCAATGTAGTTTCAAGCCTGTGCAAATCATGACCCCCGGGGAGTAGGGTGGGGCCACAATAGGAGATCAAATTTTTTCATAGGAAAATATAGAGAGAAATCTTTAAAAATCTTTTCAAGCCATGATTATTCATTTTACATGTATGTGGAATCATCCTCAGTTAATTAATGTAAATTAAGTTAAGTTCAAATTATGCCTCTACCACAGTTACTCCCCATGGTGTGTAGCTTGGGAGAACTTATAGTTTTAAACTTTTCCGTACTAAACTGATATCTTTTTCTCTATCCAAAGTGTTCTGGTAAGCGATGTGGCCCATGTGCCTCTTGTTTCTGTTGATGATTATATTCTTGTTTGCTTGTTGGCTTTTTCTTCAAAAATTATGAGTCGGACTTTTTGATGGGTATGGAATGATATTAATTTTTTGCTTTCTTTTTGGAAAACAAAGACCAAAAGAACATAACTTCTCTATCAATAATTTTTTGTCTCCATCAATCTTCTCTATCTGTAAATCTATCAATTCTCCGGAATCTGTTTTATTGCAGATCCACATTTCCGCTGTATGGAGAGGAAAACTTTTTAAGTGATCCAAGTTCAAAGATCAAATGACTTGTATTCATACAAGTACTGATTATTAGAATTTGATCAAATAGCATCTATTTCATTGATTTAGAACTAAATTTTATTAACCCAGTTATGTATATATCTTTTCTTTAAATTTTTTATGAAATTTAGAAATAAAACACCGGAAAAATTTTACAAATTTAAGATAATTCCACCATTTTAGAGGAACAAACAGAACATATGCTGATGTAATTTATGCTTAGAAAATCCTTTAAAATTTTCATGGTCAGAAGTGCACAAATTGTTAGAATTATCAACAAGGAAATATGTATAGATACAAATATTAATTGATGAGTACATTATTCCTACTTGTAGTTGACTTTCTCTGCTACCAGTGTTTCACTCACGAAATAATATATATATATATATATATATATATATATATATATATATATATATATATATATATATATATCTATATATCTATATATATATATCTATATATATATATATATATATATATATATATATATATATATATATATATATATATATATATATATATATATAAATTATACTGCAGTCAGGAGTGCAAGAAATTTTTTTCATTTGTCATAAAGAACATTTATATCCCCTTAAACACCAATAACAGGAGAGTACTTTGGTACTATTTTTTAGTTTCTATCAATATGTCTTTCAACGAAATGCAAACATTTTTGGACATATTTCAGTCAATTTATATAAAAATTTTCACCACTTACCACTCTTTTTGAAAAATAATAATTCAAAAACAACAAATGACTTTAAAATAATTGTATTAGTTATTGTGTATTATGATTTCAAGATGAAGTTTATCAATACATATATCAGAAGTCAGGTGTCCAATAAAATAGGGTTGATCAGTGCCACTTTAAATTCTAGTATCTTTCGCAAAAAATACATTCAGTATTTACTAGATTGACCAAAAAGTAACTTCAGAGAAATTTCATAGACATTTTTTTTTTTCAAACAGGAATTATGTATTTCAGAAAGTCTTTAAAGATGAAATAATATTTTGATTTTTCAAAAAAGATCTGTTAATAAAAAAAAATCGTAAACCTTTTAATACAATTGTCCATTTCTACTGCCACTTTGTAAATTTTGACTAAAATAATAAAAAAAATATATGCTATCGTGGTAAAAAAAAAATCAAAGCAAGTTGAAATTTTCGAGTGCAAAAATAATATACAGGTCATTCCTTTTTATTCAACCATATACTAGTAGCTTCTGATTTTAAAATGCGGAGTTGTATTCTGATAAAGCAAGAAATACTTCGATTACCTCACAAGTAACAACATTTGGTACACTTTAAGAAAAACAGCTTTCTTTCATCTATAATCTGCTGCATATTTTTTTTTTTGAAATCCAAAAGTATTTTCAGTGTTCAATATGAATTTTTATTATTATTTCACTCTTCAATCACCTAAAGAAAAACAGTTTGAAATCATAGGGCCTCTGGTTAAAGGCCAAGATGGAGAATTCTTAGCCTTAAGGGGAAAAGTCCGAGACCTTGCAGTTGTCTCAGCAAGTCAAAACACTCGTATCATGAATAATACACTACTGGGTATATGAAACAGTAACAAGTATCCCTGATACTGTGTAGACAGGACAAATGGTCCATTGTAAAATGAATCTGTTATAAAACATTAACTTACGTCGCAGACAGCTCATTTTTGCTCCAATCAAATGAAGTTAAGAGACTGTTAGTGTTTTGAATAATATGTCTTTCAAGATATTTTAACATTAACCTCTAACACCCTGAGGATCCAAGCAATGTCGTTCTTTAAGGTCCTCTCCCTCGCATTCTCTTCCGCCATGCCGTGGAGAAGGATTGGTACATGTGCGGGTTTTAGATTTTTTATCCATTCCATTTTTGAAATAGCATTCACCCCAATTAGACCAGTCTGTCCAACCACCATGAACTAAACAAGAATTATTAATTACTGTTAAATTTCTAAAATATGTCGATTGAATTGCACTCATTAACTTTTAGTCTTATTAAGACATGTAGTACGAAGCATATCATTTATGGACAGCAATACAATTTATTTATGGTATAAAAGTTTTATCTAAATACAGCTAAACTTCGAAATCTCGAACACGGATATCTCGAATACCCCGGATATGTCGAAGTTAGGTCGCGGTCCCGACGAAATTTGCTTTATAAATGATTAAAATAAACCCCTCTATGTCGAACACGGTAATGTCGAATACCCCGGTTATCTCGAAGTAAAATTGTGTACCCATTCATTAAAATCATGCGTTATCTCGAAGTCAGGATTCGATAATTATCCGCTCTGATGATCAAGTCCGTTAGGTAAACTGAATGCTCTCTTGATAACACCCACCTGTCTGTCACGCTCGGGTTACCTGTGTTACTGTGATCAACAGATAATAGCGCGATAATTATACGAAGTGTATGTATGGCTTACCTTGATTGTAATTATGCAAGCCAAAGGTTGTGTGTATTAGTCTAACTGCATACGCGTGGATGACACGTTAATTGTTTTGTGGCTTGGGTACGTTTATCTTGATAATCGCTATTTAATGCTATGTGAAATATGCGCGCATACATAGTTTATGGATATGAAAGTGAAAATTATAAACATCGAAGTAAAACAAAATTCTGTAGTTAAATGCAATTAGAATTTATTTTCCCTATATGAGCGTGCATAATTTACAATCGTCCGTACACACCATCATGTGAGCATTTGTCGCAGTGAAAACTTGTGCTGTAGTGCCCTGTGATTCAGTGTTGTTCTGTTGTTAGACCAAAGTGCGTGATTCTTCTTTTGCATTTGATTTTATTATGGTAAAATAATTTTCTTTTAACTGATTTTACATGTGTGAACATTTTATTTTCCAATAAAAGAAAATGTATATTTCGTTTTCGTTATTCTGACAGCGACCGCTTTTAAATTTACAATGCATAGACGATATCCGGTTATGGGTGCTAGCGGTTGACTTCCCGCGTTGGTAGAAGGTTTATGGTTCTGTGCATATTATACAAGCCATTTATTTTGTGGATTATAAAGAGGATTTAATTTTTTTTTTTGAATGCTAAATCCATGTACATGTATATTAAAGAAATCGTATACAGAATTTCGAACAACAAGAAGGAATTTGACATATTTTCACTATTAAGTACATGTTCACTGCACTAAGTTTATTTGAAGTTCATTTGAATTATAATCCTCGATATGTCGAACCCCCGGATATCTCGAAGTTCATCAACGGTCCCGTCAACTTCGAGATAACGAAGTTTAACTGTATTTCAAAATTGCCAATCAGTGCTGAAAATATTTTAAAAATAAATAATAAGTGAATGAAAACATCTACTTCGTTCGAAGATTTTATTATAACATTATCCATAACTTCAAAACTGTTCATGCATGATGCGTTGTTTGAATGCATTTTATATATTTTCCAATACATAATTCCACGTGGCCTATGTCATCTGTTTTCGTCCGTCGTCGTTCGTCATTCGTTAACATTTGAACATTATTTGCTTCTCCTCTTGATATATATAAGGGAAACTTTGTATTATTATATAGTGAAAATGAATTAATTCTTTGAAAATCTTCTCTGTTGTTCAGTATTAAGCAGACAAACTAAGTGCATGGTAATGATGAGAAAGCTTTCTTCTTTCAAAACTGTGAAATTCATGGCCCCTGAAACAGGGATTTTGAAGTGGTGCTCTATTATGATCATATGTATGGGAATATTTTCTCTGCTTTAAAAGAAATTATTCTCCTTTTTTCTTAACCTATAATAATTTATCATTTAAATAATGTGATTGATGGGTAAATTAAACAAAAGAATTATAAAAAAAATTTGATATATAATGTAAAAAAAGGATGTTATAATTTTTAATGATCACTCCGTGAATACTGTGTTTTATTCTACTCATATTATCTACTTATGTCTAATGAAAGTAATAAAGTGTAAATAAATTGACAAATACAGGCAAGTTTTCGAGTTGTTACTGATAACCAGACTAATACATGCAAGTTTTCAAGTTGTTTATAAGACTAATTTTTATCCCTGATCATCCTGTTTCTTTTAGTTTATTTTGCATTATTATTCAATTATTTACCATTTAATGGATCATTTTCAGGGTTGTGTTATACTCAGATGACGGTTAAGGCCATTGGGCCTCTTGTTATATTTGTAATTTGAGGGTGTAATTGTTGACTTTTAGGTCAGATTTTCAAAAGCCATGATAGTATTACCTGCAGGTGGAATACAAGATTCTTGTATAATTTTTTCTCCTTCGCAATCTTTTCCACCATGCCGTGGAGAAGGATTGGTACATGTACGAGTTGCAGATTTTTTATACTCTCCATTTACTTGAACGCATTCGCTCCAATCAGACCAGTCTGTCCAACCACCATCAACTGAACAAGAGATATTAATTACTAAAAAAGTAATTACTCTAAATATGTTAACTGAATTAAATTCATTAATTATTAATAACACTAATGGTACAAAGTATATATATTAGGCCAAGATTTAAAAAATGTTTGTTGCCCTTTCCCGACTCAGGATGAAAAAACTGGGTCGGTAGGTAGGTATTAAAAATTTTATTTTTCAGAAAATTTAAATTTCAATGCTAATTTTTTAAAATCTATGTTCCAGAATGCATAAAAAAAATAACTGCTGTCTGGAGGTTAAAAAGTGTTTAGTCGGCATTCTTAAAATCCCCTACTCGTGATAGGAAAATAGATAAATGCTAACATCTACTAATGTTACATCATATCAATAGTAGAGTTTATAATTACATCATCGTTAACTATCCTTAATTCTCATTATATCGCGGGTTCCATTGTATCGCGGTATTTTCCAAAAATTAGGATACATAGTTCATATCCTTTTTGTTGATGGACTATCTGTCTGTCGTCTGAATGTTGACTTTTGTGATGGTTAAAAAGTATGGAACACCTGTTGGAAAAATATTTATTCAAATAAAATGAAATTTTACAGATTTCCATTCCCGTTTTTTTTATTTAGACCAATGAATATATAATCAAGTAAAATCCATAATAAAGTTCATATTTTGAAAGCCTTACGTTTGTATTATTGTTAAGTTTTTATGTAGATTTACATCATAAAATAAAAAATAAAAATTGTACTCTGTGACAGTGCCAAGCCTCCATGTTTTTCAATACCGCGATACAATGAGACTCTTACAAAATAAACGAAGAAAGCTGAGAAAATAATTAGTCACTAAAAAGTTAGGCCATTGATAGGTTTATGAATAGTATTTGGTAAATAGTTAATGTAAGAATTTGGAATAACTTTTTTTACGCAAAAAATTAAGTACCGCGATATTATGAGACACCAGTATATATATAATTCTGTCCATGATGTGTGGTTTGAATGCATTTAATATACATGTTTATTTTTCAAACTACAATTTTTACATGCAAAAATGCTATATAATTTTACTCCTTATCTTTTATATTTGATTATTTACTTTAAAGCTTTAAAACAGGCTTTTAAAAATTATAAGTGTCACCTTTTGTTGACTTTTCGCATAAGGTAGGCAATGTCTTTGAGCAAATTTGTGGATAGGTGATGGGGTAGAGTGTTCCATCTTCATTCACCTTAACTGCTATGCAGTGTTTCCGCTTTGGATTGCTGCCTAAATCACCTCCTGAGCAAAACCATGATATTACATATATATAGGTATTTTATTTTTATTATGGATTCAAAAGCGACAGGACATCTATATTAATATTTTCATTGTCCTTTAATTTAAAACTGTTTTACATCCCTTCACGGTTGTCAGTATTTTTCACTGTTTTTTACCTATGTGGGACGTCATTATTTACCGATGAAGGACTTCAAATTTAGACCTATACAAGAAACTCAGTCATTGCGTATTGAGGAATCTTTATCTTGCAAACGCCTCTCGGGACACGAGGCCTCGGTGCTTAAGGTCTCACCCCAAAGGCCCGCATCTTCAAAGTGCCGAGCTCTGTTACCTATATTATGTTCCCCAAACGTAAGGTATATTACCATAGCAATTTTCAACTTTATATGTCACTACGTTGTTGCATGTACCAATGCCAAGAATATCCATTTTCTTTGCTTTTTTCAGCTCAAATAAAGATTTTAGCTGAATAGGAATGCAAAACGTAATACGTGTTGTGTTAAAAGAGAAGAATCAACTTCTCTGATGACGGAGAAGGGACGGAAGACCTTCTTGTTGCCACGGCAACAAGTTTCTAGTTATTATTTTTTCTTCTTCTTCCTGGGTACATTTTTGTCCGTAGGTGATCTCATCCGATTAAGGTAAAACTTCTTTAGGGTTAATTTGTATGCTGTGTAGATTTGCGGAACGTTAGTCATTTTGCCGAAACATGAATGCACGTGCGTGCGCTTGCGAAGAGTGAAATGACTGATATACTTGATATAGCCTTAACTTTTATATTTTTCAATAATGCTTTGAATTTCAGAATATAAAGATATGTTAGTAGTCTAGACAAGATGACATGGTAAATTTAGCATGAACTCACACGCATGATTTCTCAACAAAACAGGATGAAAGAGCTAGGTTCACTTTATCCATTAAATAGCTCTGTCAATATACCAATTAACTGACCAAGTCCCAATGTCCCATTTTAAACATCAATATAGAATAGAGACTTAGTGCTTCCATTTCCTATAAAAACTTTTCCTCCGAGAGTCCAGGTATTGAAAAACAGGCTTTGTGAAATTGCAATGTTCTTGAATTCTGAAGAAAATTGGTGTATTTGAGTACACAAAAAATGAAGCATGAATTATAATCTTCTGAAAGAATACTTTCATTATATAATTAAACATTTTTGATCAGTGGTTGGGGCCAATGCAAAATATTTTTAAAAAAAAAAAACAGCGTAAAGTGTTAGCCAAGTTTGAAGAAATTTTTAGGATTTGAGGATAATGTCGCATTTCATGACGTCATTATACACCGACTAGCGAGAAAATTTCATCATTTTTAATAGGTATGCAGTCCAAGTGAAATTTAATGTATTTTCACCTATATATATATAGAAATTCGCAGGGCTAATACACAGTATAATTTGTCCAAACCTGATAAAATTTGGCAGGATTAGACAGAATCCGGACTGCAGGAAAATTCTGGAAAATATCTTAAATTAATTTCTGTTGTTTTATTTATAAGTACAATGCAAATGTTGGGAAAATATAATAAAATGATAAAATAAGTCGATATTTTTGGAGTATAAAAATTATTCACGAGTATCGCATAGCTTACTGTCAATTTTACTTTTTCGTTGTCGCCGGGTGGCGCAGTGGTTAGAGCGTCTGCTCTAGAGTCGCGGAGTAAGGAGTTGATCCTTACGTCGCGGGTTCGAATCCCACTGTGGGACGTGGAGACCGGTCCTACGGATGAGACCGTATAAACCGAGGTCCCGTGTCGCAGTAGGTGCTGGCACGAAAAAGATCCCTCACTGCTCAATGGCCGTAAGTGCCGAGTATAGGACAAAACTTGCTGCTCTCCACCGGCAAGTGGTGGCGTCTCCATATGAGTGAAAAATTCTCGAGAGGGACGTTAAACAACATACAAACAAAAAAGCTTTGTCGTTCACAAAGTTTGGGACTTTCAACGTGAAATGTTAACTAGGTCAAAAATCTACAGACACGTATATATCAAGCGCGGGTTTTGTATGTCAAAAGCGCATTCAACATAATCATAAACAAAATTTATTACGATTTGATACTTATTGAATTGACAATTTAATTTTTATGTAAACATTTACGTCTACCCTCCAATTCTATGGCGCCAATTTGAAAAGAGACTATTGAGTTTCGATCCCGATTTATATTTTGATTTGTAAATCGTGTACCTATAATGTCATTGATTTTATGTTTTGTGTGATTATGGAGTTGAAAGCAAGTTAATCGTGTAAGTATTTTTTTTTTAATTTACATCTAACTTGACCTGTAAACACACGTTAGCACATCTACTACGAAAGATGTTAATTGCATTGAAGTGACTCCGGTAAATTATGTGTGGCCTGATAAGAGGAAATAATTACCGTAATTATGAGCAGTTGGGACCAATATGGCCGTTCGAAATATAGAATAGACAGTATCAGGACTACAAAGAATGTTTTAATTGTTAAGCATACTTACCAGGAGGACTCCAGTATTCGTAACTTTGTCTGTAAAATCCTGTCCAAAATGGACGATATTTGAAAGAATCAGACAAGCCTGTATAGTTACCAATGACGTCTGCCTTCAAAGTACCACACCGTTTGACAGCTTCCGTCCAGGTCACCTCTATGGGTAATACTTGGCCGTCTGTAATAAAATCAGAATTAAGGACTCAATTTTAAATCTTACTGCTCAATGAAATCCCTTCTGGTCTGTACAATTTATGCTAGTAAGAACATTGTTTTATGTATGAGGAATGCGCATCGTTTTTTTATTTTCCCTTATTGTATGACAATACGTTTGTTTTTCATACTTGCACACAGATATCCAATTCTGTTCAGACAGGAAGAAAATTGATGACGAACCGGATATGTTCCTAGATATCTCACAGCAGCGCAATTACCGAAGTCATTTGCTGAAAACGGAAATGAGAACATTTTTATCACTTTACATGTGTTATCTTAATTTTACTGAACCATTCAAACTAGTATTCTTTTTTGGCAATTTATTCTTTTTCTCCCTTATTATAATTATAATCCTGTCGTTTTTTTATTTGGGTTTGGGTTTCTTTCTTATATCATCAACAAAGAAACACAGGACTTCGAAGAAAAGTCCACTAAAATACTCGTAATAGATTTTGTATTATATATGAAATGGAAAATTCCATATTGGAATTAATGAATTTATCTAATATTATATCATTATATAATTTATCAAATGTTAATATTGATTATGTCTAGCTGACGCCTTACAATATGTGGATGGACTGTGTTTGTTGTATTTGTATACCACCACACTTCCGTCGTTTGGTCCTCCAAATAGTTCATCGGGATACTCTGGGAAAGTCTTATAAACACACTGTTCGTCTACTTTCCTGTATTTTTCTACATCGGTATAACAGTAACATGTCGTTTTCTATTGAAATTATAAAACAGTACATGTATCTATATACATTTATTGCTAAAGTATGTCATTGAGAAATGTTACAAGTTTCTGTTTTCCCGAAGTCAGTTTTATTTTTCCAGGCAAATCAGCAGAAAAATGTCTGATTAAATAAATGGAATTACATAGAGAATGAATTATTTTGACGTTTTTATAATACTGAAACAAAAGTTAAATCAAGGCTTTGATCACAACGAAACAGATTTATACGAGGGTTGTCCCAAAAAGTCGTAGACAACCTTAACATTCAACCAATACTAACCAAATTTTGTAAAGCCATAATTTATTCAATGTTCCTTAAAATAGTGAATTCTTCAATAGATATCTTTCATAGTAATAATATTATGACTTTTATAGGAAGAACTATATGGGCTGTCGATTGACGAACAAAATCCGGAATAATTATGTAACTATTCCAAATGCATTTGTTTCTCTGGTAATATGTATTTATATGGTAATCTAGAGTCCCTCAGTCAAGAGTGGTTTGCCAGTTTAAAAAAATCAACGAGATGCTTGATGCGTGTTAAGCACACGGGGCAGAACTTAAAAAATGATCCTGAAGTTATAAGAGACGTAAATTACGCTTGCTTTCGTGCGCCGATGTGCACTTATATGCTCTCTTCATTTTTACATCATTTTCTTATTCAATGTGCTATTATCATGAAACTTAAAATTCATGATGATAGAATGTTGCTTTTTACTAAGACAAGAAATTTAATTTGACAAAGAGAAACTAAACTGTTTTCCCAGTGTACGACGTTTTGGAACAACCCTCGTAATTGACAATGTATCTCTGATTGGCTGATTCAGGGCAGGAAACTAACTTTGATACATTTACATGCATCAAGATTAGCAAAATAAGCATTGGTACCTACCTAGAATTAGCATAAGTATAAATATAAAAAGATTGTCAGAATTTGCATCAGCATGTTTTTCGAGCAAAACAGTACTACCAAAGTTAGCATTTTTCTTATATGTAAAATCAGTATTGACCAATATGTTCAGGATAAGAGTAAATATAATTGTTAGCAGTAAACCAGCAAACGAAGGAAACGTTCAATTCAGCGAGCAAACAACAGAATCAGCATGAAGACTGTTACAGAATTAGTTCCCGGTACTGTATTAAAGACTGATCTAAGAAAATAAGATCTGACAGAAAAAATAGTATACTTAACTATATGAAAAGATCTCGTACTAACAAATAAAGATTTCACAGATCTCGATCTTAATAGAGAGAAATGATCTCGTAATTGTGAGAAAATATCTAATAATTACGGGAAAATTATCTCGTAATAACGGGAAAATTATCTCGTAATAACGGGAAAATTATTTCGTTGTTTAGATAAAAGATCTCTTTAATACAAGAGAAGATTTTGTATAAATAACATGATCTTTTATCGCAATAACGAAATCTTTTCTCAGAATTTTCTCGTTAATACAGGATCATATCTTGTTACTTCGAGATAATGCTATCGTAATTTTGAGATCATTCCTCGTTATAATGAGATGTACAAGCTTTGTATTTTCTTTGATTACTATTATCTTACCGATAGGCCTATTGCTGTAATACCATTGTGGTAATCACAGTAAGCATAGCAGTCATATGTTGGTTTTCCATGAGCATCAATGTCCTTTAATTCAATAAATTCGGTGGCTTTATTTGTCTCGAAGCAACCTTCAATAAGGAATTCAAAAACTCTCCATAAGACTCTCCATTTTATACCAAAGGTTTATAAGTATATTTTAATTGATTTGTAGGATAAAAGGCACATATCGGAATAGAATTATTCTTATGCTAATATTTACACGTATTTATTTGAGACATTTTTTTTCTTTAAAAATTGCTTCTAAAAATTCAATATTTAAAGGTTTAATCAGTAAATAAATTTGTTTTTTCACATCACAGTCTTCTGAATCAGCTTTTGTCAAACATTGTAAAAGATTGTCCTGTTTTTCAAAGATCATTTTAACAGGATATCCTTTCATTTGTTTTGTTTCTGCTATTGTATTTTAGTGTCCCTTCCTCTATATTTGGACTTCAGATTTCTTTATGAAAAAAATCTAATAAAAAGATGGCAAATGACAGAAATGAAATTTCATTTAATCCTTTTTAAAAGTAATAAACCTGAAATAACAGTGATTTACCACTTTCACTTTGGAGCTGTGTTTTAAATATATAATTTTTTTTTTGTGGAAATTTGATTTTAAAAAGTAAAAGGTAAAGATAACGAACAGTGATCGACCTCAAAAAATCCATAAACAATTCAAATATGTGAAGAGGGCATAAAACACGGACCCCTAGAAATCCCAGAGGAGTGATCAGGTGCCTAGGAGGAGTATGCATTCTCAGTTGACTGGTCATGCCCACCGTTAACCCTATGTATTGATAAGGTAGACGAAACTATCAGTAGTCAATTCATCACAAAAACAAAGGCCTAACAATCGATATGAAATAAGTCAGCCAAAACATGACCCAATAAAAAAAATGTCATTGCCATTAGACTCAATTATCTATGTTTATTTAAAATATCTTTACTAAGTATCTATTTATGCACAAGTTACTACCCAAGAGTGTGAACCATGGAGTCTGATGAACATCTGCTCCAATCCAGAAAAACTGATCCTGAGGGAAACCAAACGGTCTGGCCGGTACTCTGAATCCTGCAATGCTGAAATCGGTATTTTCCCAAGCTCCTAATTGCTGACAATTTTTAGAAGACTCGAGCCAGTTTCTGGGTGTTGTATCATAGTACACACCTAATAACCAAAAATTAAAAAAAAAAAAAAAGAGGTTCATAAAAGATGAACGATGAACATATGCTAAATTATCATCCTTTTTGACAGTATTTTACATCCCATGCAACGTGTAATATTTTTCTTTCAAATAGAAGTTTGTCTTGGTGTTACTTACTTACCTCTATCGTCAGATCGAACAACCGAGAGCCAGAACGCCAAGAGCAAAATACCAAGTGTATAAGACATCATAGTAATCTTCCAACAGTCCATCAAAGCAGACACCCCGGACTGGGTCTGAGTAGCTCAGTTCAGCCTAGTGTCGTAGATCCGGCATTTGTTAGTAGATATAACAGGGAGCAGGAACCGACTGACTGTTAAATTCAGATTGATAACTTTGTGTACACCACATCCGTGTCTGTCAGTCCTACAGTGTTATTCGTTATAATTATAACGAAATAGAGTGCAGATATACTAGTATATTATACAAGTTAAAATAAATTTTTTTACCGATTCCAAGTTCAGATAACCTCACGTTTCTATAGTTGAATATGAATAAGATATGCCATGCGCATGACTTTGGGAAACTACAGAATTAAAACCATGATGGAAGAAGGGATAGTGAAGTGCATAAAATATTGTTAATACGACATAATGTTCTCTCTTCCTTGCTTTTCTCTCTGAATCTCTGAAACTGCTTGTGTCCTCTAATCTACCTCTATTTCTCGAATTTGCTGTTGATTTATGTATAGTGAATTATGGCAGATTTATTTAAATCTCCATCATTTTTTTTTGTGGAGTAGGTAAAAAGGGTAATTGTTTTATTATTTAATATATATTTGTATCTTAATAAATCCAATAAAATTAATATGTTGTACTATTTCTTTTAGGTAATCACCTTTTGAAAATCATATAATTAATTTCTTTAAAATTAAAAATAAAATAATTCTGTCAGTATATTTACGCACAGAAGTAAAACGGTTAGCATAGATGAAACTGTGTTTCTAATGGTATAGATGTACATGATCATATTTACTGATTTTTGATAATCAAAGCAAGATAAATGTATTCATTTACTAAAATGAAACAGGAATGTCGATTTCTCAAATATTTCATAGGAAAATTTCCACTTCGTTCAACTTTATTCACCAGATATTTCATCAGAGTATCTCCATTTGGTAAAACCAGTGTCATAAAAATTATGTCTCAGGTAATTTTGACATTTTTATTATGCCCCCGGATCGAAAGATCCCGGGGGTATATTGTTTTTGTCCTGTCTGTCTGTTTGTCTGTTTGTCCGTTTGTCTCACATATGTAATTCTTGTGACATCACCTTCCTTTGGATACCAACCACTTTGACCCTTTGACCATGACATAGGAGATTGACCTACTTTTGAAAAACTTTAAACTTGGTCATAACTTTTGAATGGTTGGTACTAAGGCTTTCATACTTCACATATGAAATCCTTGTGACAAGACCTACCTTTGGATACCAACAACTTTGACCTTGACCTTGAAGTTTTACTAACTTTAAAAAACTTTAAATATTTTCTATGATCTTCAAAAATTTCAATATGATGATACGATGACTTCAAATCGAAACTGAATAAAAAATCACCTTTGTTAAAAATGTCGC